CTGAGGATAAAGAACAACTCATCCTAATGAGCACAATTCTTGAATTCTCTGCTTTATGGTTGGTAGAAGCTGAGAAATTTGATGGAAACTGGAGGGCAGGAAAAAGTACCTAGAGAAAAAGAAATTTATTTTTCAATTTTATGTTCTCAGTTGTGAATGATGAAGAGTTATTTTTTTTATTAAGGTCAAGATTAAGTGTCCAATACAGAATTTATTGAGAAAAACAGGCAGGTACATGTAATTTCAATTTCTACCCCTGGAAATCCATGCTCTAGACTTCTGACCCTGAATGAGTTTTTAGGTGGATACTATAGCTTTTTATGGTTCCTGTTAGGAATAAAAATACTGAGGTCCATGATTTAAAACCTTCAACCTTTAGATTATAAAATAGAGTTGTAGCCAGTCAAAAGTCAAAAGCTCACCCAATTCAGCCCTGCAGTGAGAGTCCAGGTTAGTCTCTCAGGGAACTGCTCCCTACCCGGTAAGCCAGCTCCTGTTTCAGACCTCTCTAGAGTTGAGTCCAGAGATACCTTTCTAGGAATTGTCATGAACTATAGAATTGGTACGGTGGTCATGTGGCACTGTACCATTGGGTGGCATTCATTATAACTGCTACCTCTCTCACCACTAAGGCCCGTTTGTAGATTTCTTAGTGAGCTGCATGCTGGACCCTTCTTCCACGATCTTTGGCATAGCCATACCCCATGATTCCCTTCATTTCCTTAGACTTCCAGTCCACCTCCCCCAGCCTGGGCTTCTCACCACTGCTCAGCCATCCACCTTTCTGGGCAGAGGTCCTTGGATGAAGGATGATGGCATGCTCTTTTGTGGAGCCTGTATTTGTCCTTCCAGCGGAAAGGATTTGGTATCACTCTGATCAAAAGGACAGATATCTACTACACAGCCATTTCTTGCTCACTGGTCTTTACCCCACCAAACTCCTGGGGATGCTGGCCTGTTTCTGAGAAGTTCCCATCAGGCACCTTCAGATGGATGGACAAACTCCTCCTTCCTTTGCAGCTCTCTCTGAGAGGATCTTTTCCCTCCTCAGTCTGGAGCCAGATGTGATCTGAGTCTGATAGAACTATCTTCACAGTTGTTTTGCCATAATCAGAGTTGACCCAGCATTTCTCTCTAGAGTATAAAGATACTGGGATTCTGAATTGTGGATTTATAAGTCTGCCTTTGAGCCTTTTCAAAACTTAGAGACCACACATCAATATTGTGCTTCAGTCTGAGGGTATAACTCAGTGGGAGAATACTTGCTTTGGCATGTATTATAGGTTCAATCTCTATTACCATAACAATAAAGAATGATTTAATAGTTAAAGTGGGTTTGGGACATTATATTTCCCTCTGATTGTTCTATTCAAACTTAACATGTTATCACATGTCATTTTTTTAACTCAATCTGGATCCACTGGGACAGATACAGTCCCATCCTCAAGTATTGGAGGCTGTTTGTTGGATTCCTTCCCACAAACTCTGTCAGGTTGTTCCTGTACATGAGAGAAGGACTGACAGCTGGAGGGTATGTCTTGGGCCAGTGCCTATTCAGTTCCACCTGCTGGGATGCAGGGGCTCTCATCCAGCAAGACTTCAGAAGCAGTACACAACCTTGTCTTCTGCCCAGTGAAGCACAGCATATGATGTCGAAAGATAAGTGCCTCAGTAAGCAATAAGCACTCCTTTCTGCCTGTGTTAATTTTTCATTTTACGATTCTTGTGGCCATTGTAGGAAATACGATTTATAGCCAAATTATCACTCTCGTTTTAATAATGAGACATAAAACCAGAAAGCATTGTTCTCTTTAAATGCTACACAGAAGCTGACCAGTCTTGATTTGTTTGCTTTCCAGTGTATTTTAAAACACAAGAAAAATTTGAAAACTAAACTAAACTGTGCTTATGAATAATTAAGTCTACTAGCTAGCTAGAAATCCACAGAATAGACCATTTATGTGTTCCTGTAATCCACTGAGTAGAAAGTACCAAGGCTCTTGCGTCATGAGCTCTCAGTCCATTGGACTTCCTACAGGAGGGCTCCTCAGGGGTTAGAGAGCGGCAGGTAACTTCCCTTTCCATTTCACTTCTACCCTATCCTTTCAGCATGTCAATAACACAATCCATTAGGTTCAACTTAACTTGGAAATTCTCAACAAATACATTTGTGGTTTAGTCATTATTTCCAGAATGTTCACTAAATTAGTAACACCACAGCCTAATGACTCAATTTCATTTTAACGTCATTGCTCATATTCTTTATACACAAAAATCATTCCCTAATGCATAACACTTTGTGTAGGCACACTCCCAGGGACAATTGTGGTTCTAATTCTATACCATTGTTGTTTAGTGCTTTTAAATAGGGAAGTGGGAGGCTCTGTGTGATTTCTATAATTAATTTTAAAACAGCATTTTATAAAAGGCCATTTCAATAATGTGTTCTTATTGGAAAGGGAAAAAACTTAACATTTCTCACTTGGAGGGATTTTTATTTTCCAGATTCATAATTAGGATATTTCTACAATTGCAGTTATGCAGACAACACAGAGACTTTCTTACATGGCTCCCCTCCCAGAATGCTCCAATTAAAGGAAGTGATGCCTAGTGCAAAATGTCCTGCTTGAAAGCTTTGCTTAATCATAACCTTCCTCCATTTATATCAACCCCCTCTACACATCCACCCAACACACCAGCAATTCCTACCAGCTCTAATGCCAAAACAAAACTGGCATCTGGCTGTTTAGATCACCTTGGCCCAACCTAACTGCCTTTCTCTTGATTTGTTTCAAGACCTTACTAATTGGTCCCCAGACCTATCTACATAGGAGTGCTAGAAGAATACTGTATTTCCTCACTTTAAACTCCACGAGCAATTTCCCACCTAGCCAGGGCATACAGACTGCTTTATGCAACCCTGTCCTCATATTTCTTCTTCTATTCCTCGGGTAGATAGTGTCCTCACCCATAGCACTACCTAAGTACTTTCCTACCTCAGGGCCTTTGCACATGTCCCTCTCCTGAGACTCTCTTCCTCCACATCTTCAGCTCATTGACTTCTCCACAAAGAGTCCTTTCTTGATGCCATTTCTAGAAGCCACCTCTTTTTCTGAGTTCTATCACATATCCCTGCTTTATTCCATCAGATGCCCCCTCATTGGAAATTAAGCTTATTTACCTGCTTGAAAACCTGCTTTTGTTATAGTAGGAACACTGGATATGTTGTTTATAACTGAATCCCCACTGCAAAGTCAGGTATGAGTGGTGTAGGCTCAGCCATTGTTTTTTGATGGAAGGATGGAAGTAGTGAGTGAATATCAAGTGCCAACACTGGGTTTATATTGATTTTTTTTCCCCGTGAGATTATCATTGAGCCGCCAAGGACTATATATATTACTATGTTTTAATTACCTAAAACTGTGGTCTATTTTCTTTATTCTATGTAATTGAAGTTTATTTGTGAAAGGTACATTTCCTACTGAACTAGGATCGTATGAAGTGCCACTGTCGAATGGTGTGTTTACCTTTTCCTCTTTGCAGAAAATTTTGGCATTTACCATAACCTAACTTCTACTTATAGACAACTGAAATTATTCCAGAATGCTAGATTAAAATATTAAAATACGGCCGGGCGGTGGTGGCGCACGCCTTTAATCCCAGCACTTGGGAGGCAGAGGCAGGCGGATCTTTGTGAGTTCAAGGCCAGCCTGGTCTAGATGAGCGAGATCCAGGAAAGGCGCAAAGCTGCACAGAGAAACCCTGTCTCGAAAAAAAACTAAAAAAAAAAAAAATTAAAATACTTTTTGTGTGTTGGTAACTATTGTCTGTCTACCATTACTGTGAGCTCCAAAGAGTCCTTTCTCCTTCTCTGGGGTTTGAGAATAGGTTGGACCAAGGTGGTACCAGCAGCCAGAGGCCCAGTTTTAATTTAGAATTGGTACTGTCGGGAATTGCTATTAGATTAAGCAATTGTGTGTGAAGGGGAATAGAGTGTGTGGATCAAGGTTGTGATTTAGAAGTTGGATGGACCATGCGTTCAGGCCTGAATGCCAACAGAGAGATGGTGCCCCTTAAGAAGGCAAAGACATCCCAGGTACCAACTGCCCTTTTACCCTCCTGCACCACCACCTACTACTGTAGCTGGAGAGCTTCTCTCTAGGTCCCACCAAAGCCCCCGCAGTCCCACAAACCATATATAAAATAATCACTCAGATGCTTATATTACTTATAAACTGTATGGTCGTGGCAGGCTTCTTGTTACCTACTTCTTTTATCTTAAATTAACCCATTTCTATTAATCTATAAGTTGCCACGTGGCTCATGACTTACCAGTACCTTACCTCTTGCTTGTCATGGCAACAGCTGGCAGGTCTCTCCCGCCTCAGCCTTCCACTTCCCAGAATTCTCTTCTCTGCTTGTCCCGCCTATACTTCCTGGCTAGCTACTGGCCAATCAGTGTTTTATTTATGCAGAGCAATATCCACAGCATACTACTGTCCTCATATGGCTGCTCTGGGAACTGCAGCCTCTTCTGGGCTGAAAACTCTAGTATTGCATATTTTGCCTGAATATTCAGCATTTACTATTTTATCTATATAATTTTATTGTATTTTCTTTAACCTGCCTATGGGTAATTTACTTCAAGTAAAGACACATTTCCATGGTGAAGTTTCAATGGGATTTTTATAGAGAAGAATCTTGCTATGTTCTCAATATTGAGGTAATAGCTACTGTAATTACCTACTACAGTAATAATAAACACCAAGTGACTTATGAATAACAAAACTTTTAAGAACATGTCATTGACCTTCACTTTAGCATGGTGCCTAGACACTCAGTTCTGTCATTTTCTACAGACATGAGGATATTTGCTGTTCTGAATTTGAATTCAATGAGTTCCCAACAGTATGGTTTTGAATGTGGATACAACCTTTAATATTCACTTATTTGAAATAGGATGCTTTTTGACCTCTCTCTTCTGCTTCTTGAAATGACAGAGTACGTTTCCTGATGGGTGGTCGGCATGGAGAATTTAAGTTCCTGCCTCCCTCTGGCTATGCCCCTTGCTATGAAGCCTTACTTCCAAAGGAGAAGATGAGATTGGAGCCTGTCAAAGAATATAAACGTGATGCTGATGGTGTTAGGGATCTGTTGGGTACCACTCAGTTCCTCTCCCAAGCCTCTTTCATCCCTTGCCCCATAGATACCAGTCAGGTAAGTCCAAATTGTAAATGACAGGCAATCTCAGTGAACATATTGAGAGTGTGCCCCACATAAGGCACTGTATTCTTTAAAGGATGCAGATAAATATCCAATATTCTTTGAGAATTCATATCCAAGTTGAATATATAAGAAGCAAATAAGTTATTTTTTAAAGGTCAGATGTAATAAATGCAGAATGAACAGTATGCATGTCCTTTAGGGTAGGATGTTTGTAAGAGTCTGTGAGAACAGATGGAATTCCATCTGGACCTTTATGAAGCTTAAATGGAAGGGGGCACTGGGCAGTGATAGAACAGCATAGGAGGAGTTGATATAACAGCAATGGAATGAATCAGGGCTGGAAGTAGAAACATAGAGGAGGGACAGGTGCCAATGTCAGGTCTCACATGGATGGACAGTTGTGAGAAGGAAGAACAGGGAGACAGCAAGTTGGAAATAAAACCGAGAGGGTATAGTGTGGACTCCGTAGGAGTGGTTGGCAAATGGGTACCTCATTCACATTCATGTGGTATGATAGAGCTTTCAGCAGGCTTTCTACACCAGTGCCATTTCTTTTAATGTGTGCATGTACTTATGCATGTTTGTGAATGTGCAGGAGTATGGGGCATGAATGTGGGGCGAGGGGTGTGTGCATGTGCATGGAGGCCAGAAGAATGTTCATACTTAGGAAAGTCTTCCACCTCCTTTGAGTCAGAGCCTCTCATTGTCCTGAAGCTCACCAAAGAACTCTATGGATCCTCATCAGTGCTGGGATTACAAGAATATGGGACCCTGGCAGTTTAATGGATTTGGGGATCAATTTCAGGCCCTTGTGTTGGCTTAAACAACAGATTGATGTCCTCAACTCCACCAGAGCTATTTAAATTACTATTTTAGATGCTATAGAGCAGTAATTCTCAACCTTCCTAATGCTGTGACCCTTCAATAATAATAATCAGTTTCTCATGTTGTTGTGACCCCCAACCATAAAATTATTTCCATTGCTACTTCATAACTGTAATTTTGTTACTGTTATGAATCATAATGTAAACATCTGATAAGAAGGATATCTGATATGCAACCCCTGTGAAAGGGTTATTCAAGCCCCCAAAGGGGTTATGACCCATAGATTGAGAACAATTGCTATAGAAATAAATGAAAAAAGACCTTGCCTTTAAAGCACTTAGAGTTACCAGTATATATTAATAACTGGTCCTTTCACATATAAAATGTTTCAGTTGGCATTTCCATAACATTCATATCACTCTATTACATTCAGGTGCCCTAGCTAATCTCCTCACTGTGTCTCCAAGGCTGGCTTTAACTCTGAGCAGTCTCCTGCCTCAGCTTCCCAAGTTCTGGAACTGTAGCCATATGCCATCATACCTAACTTATTCATGCACAGATAGTAATTTTAATCTCCCATAAGATGGAAAACTCTGCATCTCCCTGCTCATTTCAAAGCATAATTCCACCTCTGGGATGTAAAGAAGGGCTTTTCTGGGAAACTGAGGAGCTTGTGAGTTTTAAGAGATCCCAAGAATCAGAGAGTCTGATTACTGTGTGGTCTAGATGTAACAGAAGAAAAACTTGCCTTTTACCCTCCCGTGTTCTGTAACTGGGGATGCACAAATTAAACTTGAGCTAACAGGTTAGCAATAGAAAAGGTGTATTTTAATTAGCTAGTAAAGCATTGACAAAGAACAGCCACTCAGAGAGGAAGATGGACTTTGGAGATTATACTCTTACTAGGGAAGGAGGGAATAAGGGGAAGGGAAGAAATAAATAACTCTGAGGAACAATAAATGGGTCCTTAGGAGACATGGTTGGTTTTTTGTTTTGACAGTGTCTGGGTATGGTGATGACAGGTCTCTGGTGGCAATGGTCAGTCTTCCCTGGGAAGAAATGGTTGAATTCTTCAGAAGAGTTTTTCCTTTAGAAGGATAAGAGACCAGAACACTTTCTGCAGCAGCTGTTCCCAGATATCTTCATCTTAAAATAACCCTATTCCATAGGAACATATTCTGATATCCTGGACTCCTTCACAGACAGGAGGCTTTAGGGACAGAGATAGAAGCAAGTTCTCTGAACACACAGCTGTTTGTGCCAGTGCAGGTGACAAGGACCAGCAAGCAGGAATACCTCTGGGCTGACTGCCCCTGCTAACCTGTCAGAAACACAAATTTACTATGACCAAACTTCCTGAAGGGGCTGGGTAAACAGAATTCAAACAAATAAGGAGAAAACCCAACAATAAGAAGAGTTCTCTAAACATGTGTGTAACGATGAGCGTTGATTTTCAGCTTGGCAGTATCAGCAACCAGTCAGAAGACAAGCTCCAGGCACACCGATGAGGGATTATCTATTTCTGGTTAGCTGTGGTGAATTACTTTGAATAGGTTGAGGTGGAAAGAACCATTATAGAGGGTGGCACCATTCCCTGGGCTGCATAAAGGGAGAAGCTAGCTGAGCATAACCATTCATCCATCTCCTCCTCCTTCCTGACTGTGGCTACCACATGACCAGCCACCCCTCAAGCTCTTTCCTGCAATAAAAATTACACCCTTGCTTGACATGATGGACTGTAACTGTGAGCCAAAATGAACCCACTCTCCCCTTAAGGTGCTTTTTGTCAGTGTATTTTTATCACAACAACCAGAAGAATAAAAAGACAATGCAGAATTAAGGATTTGGAAATGAAAGAAGTGTATATACAAGTCCTGGGAGCTTTGATGTCTAGACCCAAACCTGAGATTTTAAGGACTCTGTAAGAAAGTCAAAGCTTCTAGCCAATAAGAAAATTCTCTTTGAAGAGGATGTACTTTATTACTGTGAACTCTTTGAAGAGATGTGGTTCATTACCATGAATACCTTGTAATTTTTTAGACTCTATCATTCTGGGAAATTATTGTCAAAGGAGAACTTAAATATAAGATACTCAAAGCCCCCGTTAGGGGACATTAAGAAATACTTTGTAGGTTAATAATGACTAACTAGATCATTTAATGCTTAGCCCAACTAGACTTCTTCCTGGTTACTTCAAGCCCAGCTCCTCACTAAGGGCTAGGAGATAGGACCCCATCTTCAAGCAGCCACCCTGGGGCTTGAGACTCCCCAGGAGCAATTGTCAAGCCCATGCTGCTTTGTCCCAAGTTACCAGTTGGAACCACTGAGATTATGATTCACACTAATTTGTGGAGGTTCCTTCCTCTAGCAAGTGTATCTTCCCCTTTCTTTGAAGCATTTAGTTCCTGTAGCCTGCAAATCCATTTTAGGGCTACGATCAATGATGGAACACTTAGTTGATACAGATGGCCTTTAGTTAGCTAACAAAAGCCATGCACAGTTATAACTTGTCTACTAATAACCTCTCCCATTGTGTTCCTCATCAAAAACATCATGTCACTTACATTAAATGACTTTTTAAAAAATTACATTACAATGGTATTTGAAATGTTTTCATATTTTTGTTAATCCTTTGGGAATTTCATTGAGTGTATACATTTTTCTATGAAGTATCGTCTCCATGAGCTCTCTCTATCCACCCACAACAATTGAGATTGTTTTTGATTGTGAAGGTTTAGTAATAGAAACCCTAGTAATCATACTAGAGCTGGGGTTAGAAAGCCAAGCACACTGGTTGTCCTGAGGTGAACAGCTGGGTCCTAGCTCCTGTTAACAGCTGACAAGCAAGTGTGGGCCCAGGACTAGGCATTGTCCGAGAGCCATCCGAATCTACTTTTTATTTGGATCTCCCATTCCTTAGGGACTGTCGAGCCATAGACATGAAAATAATAATGACAACAAATTAAAGAAAATAGGAGAAGGGCTGGAAAGATGGCTCAGTGATTAAGGGCACCAGCTGCTCTTCCAGAGGTCCTGAGTTTAATTCCCAACAACCACATGGTGGCTCACAACCATCCGTAATGAGATCTGGTGCCCTCTTCTGGCCTGCAGGCAAACATGCAGGCAGAACACTGTATACATAATAAATAAATAAATAAATAAATAAATAAATAAATAAATAAATAAATCTTTTAAAAAAAAGAAAATAGGAGAAAAGAAAGTGGGTCCTCAGTTTGTGGCCTCTGTTGGGAAATAAGAACAAAATATCAGGAAAGCAGAGAGACTCCCTGGAAGTGACCAGCCTATCAAGAAAGGCTTCCCCCAGGGAGTGAGTATATTAAATGATAAGTGCTTGAATGGCACACACACACATACTCCTGTGCTATAGGGCACATGTAGAGATCAGAGAACAGCTTTCTTGAGTTGATTCTCTCCTTCCACTCTGGGATGGGAAGAGGATCAAATTCAGGTTTGTGTGTTGCAGAGTTCTGATAGGATTCAGATTGGACATGTGAAGGCATAGAACTAAAGCAACGGAATAATTTGAGAAGTTTGGAAGAACCAGACTCAAGCCAAGTACTGAGCTCTCAACAGAGCAGCCCCCCCTCCTCTTCATTTGCAGTGACTTCAGCTGGGGCACCTGAGACTTTCATCCAGTCCATTCCTGTAGTTCTGGCTTTTCTCTTGCTCCTTTTCCTTCAGGTTGTTTTGCCACTTCACCTAGAGAAGATCCGAGACCGACTGGCTGAAAATATCCATGAGCTTTGGGGAATGAATAAAATAGAACTCGGCTGGACTTTTGGCAAAGTATGTGCTTCAGGGCCCAGACCTGGGAGGATTATGATATTATGAGGAAGGGTCCCTTGAACATTTCATTGAGAATGGGAATTGGTGAACTGAAACGCTTCTCTCCCTACAACCTGCCTAACCTTTGCAGTTAGTAGCAGCCCGTTTGTTCTTCAGTCCATCTACAGCTAGCACTGAAGAAACCCTGCTCTTCACAGCACAGCTGGGAACCCACCTCCTGTTTACCTCCTAACTCTGGTTTCTTTTATTAGAGGACAGTGGATGCTTCCATCTCCCCACCCTCACCCCCTCACCCCTGGACACCTCTCACATTTCTCCTTCTTCCCTTCAGAAAAAGCAGTCTGCTCTGTGTGGGTGGCGGTAGCGGGCTGATTCATCATTTTGAATCAGAAGTTGTTTAACGTGGCTTTCAGATGTATCACTAAGATTAATGGAGACCAGAGGGGGTTAGGGAGTCCCTTGCACTAGAAAGCATTTTTCAGAGAGGATGTAAATTGACTTTGCTCTGTGATTGTATAAGGTCACTTCTGGAAGCAGAAGGATAGGTGAGTTTTACAGCTTCCTATGACCCGGACACTCTCTAGTCATGCATATTCCTATTAGTTACTGAAAAGGCCCCTGCACTCTAACACCTATGTATGTCCATAACTGCCACAACACAGTGTCCTTGTGAAAGATCACCTCTCTGCAGTAGGCTCTTGAAATCTCTCCTTCAGAGAACTCAACACAAGTGTAATTTTAAATTGCTTTCATTCTTGCAAATATTTTATCTCTCCTTCCTACTTCATTAGACTGTTGACTCCGTGGAGGTGGAACTATCTGACCTCATTAGTAAGCTCATAAAATCTAGATTAGTATATTCAAGCACCTATGAAATGACTAAATGAATGGAGTAAGGTGATGCTCAGATCCATACTGTTCAGTGTGATAGCCACATATGGCCACTGAACAATTGAAAAGTATCTAATCAGGATTGTGATGTGCTCTGTATTGGATGTAAAACTCACACTGGACATGTCAAGTGGAAAAGGGTTTGCTGGTATTAATCAAAACCCAGCACATGTGTTCCCGTGAGGTTATGTGCATGCAGGTGTCCATCGGTATCAATGCCTGCCTGAGATAGAGTTACATTCCTGGTTCTGTGTGAGGAGAAGGGTGGATAAAGCAACATAAAACAGCCCTCATATTGTTTTAAATAAGACTAATGTTAACTGTTCTCAGAACTGGACTTTTTTTTTCTCCTCAAAATTAAAACTTTTTTTTTCTTTTGGATTTAATGAAGTATTGCTAGTGGAAGCCAGTTTGGCATGGTGAGAGATGTCAAACTTTTGAAAGGTGTGCAGCCTGATTTAAAACCAAATCCTGAACCCTTTTAAAGAACAATAAAACATATTTTACATGCAAAAAAAAAAAAAAAAAAAAAAAACTCACACTGGATTTTTTGTTTTTTTGAGATAGCTCTAGCTGTCCTGAGACTTCTTCTATAGACCAGGCTGGTCTTGAACTCAAAGATCCACCTGCCTCTACCTACCGAGTAGTGGGATAAAAGGCGTGTGCCACCATGTCCAGCTTCACACTGGACTTTTAAGACTAATTTTACACTATTTTATTCTTACCATCAGAATAAGAACAATATATTACATGTATAGAGCTAAATAAATACATTGTTAAAATTAATTTGATCTAATTCTTTGTTTTTTTTTCTAACACGGCTGTTAAAACCTTTGAAATTACACATGTGGTCCATATCCGTAGCCCTTTGTGGTTATACATGCGGTCCATATTTGTAGCCACGGTCAGAAGATTACTGTCCTCCAGTAACATTATGGTGACACAAATTTTTAACAAAAGCACACCTACAACTTGTAAAATTACCTCTCTGGAAAATCATGTTGTAAGTGCAGACACCTGTGTAGAAATAAATCCACGGAGTTTGAGCCACTGACGACTTGGGAACCATGTGCACTAGTTCCTAAGACAGGCACATGCATTCACTTATCAGCAAGTTGCTGTCTTTGTCCTGACTGGTATGTATTGCCTGGGCCCTTGAAGGATATTCGTTTCTCTTTCTTCAGAGCAATGCCAGCTGTCAAAACTTAAATTCTCTTCTTTCTTATACTGTCACCTAGATACGAGATGACAACAAAAGACAACACCCCTGCCTTGTAGAGTTTTCAAAGCTCCCTGAAACTGAGAAGAATTATAACCTGCAAATGTCAACGGAAACCTTGAAGTGAGTGTTTAATTGAATGTGGACTAGACAGTGAGTGGATGATTTGATGCATTGTAGCTAAACTGCAAAGGTGTGTCCCTCTTGTCAGCAAACGTGACACACTGATAAATCACAGGCAGCAGTGATTCTTCATGTCACAGATCTTAGAATGGTGAGGAGCTGACCCACATTACTATTTAGTATATATATTTCTCCAGAGACCATGTGCCATTTGCTGTTTTCTGGAAATAAGGGGGAAGGGGGAATGCAGGAGGCATCAGAGGAGGGGCAGAAGGAAAAAAGGAAAGTAGTTTTAAAACCAAAAGAAAATATGATTTGATTACTAAAATCCCAAGTTTTTTAAATCAATTTTCAATTGTGCAATGATCCCATTCATGGTCCTAAAAAAGACCCAGATTTCCTAATCCACATTGGTACCTCCAATTTTTAATTCCCTTTGTTTGTTGCCTGCTGTTTCTTTGTATATTCCTGTTCTCTGTCAGTGCAGAACACTCTAACATTGTCTTGTTGACATAACAAAGATGTAAGCTGCTTTGTCTCATAGGCTCACATATCCACTATCTTTAATTCCAAAGAGTTTTATGTATCTTGGTACATCAAGTACAGCTCAAGGTGCTATACTGGCATCACATAGCAAATATTTGCTGACCTGAAGATTTGATGTTAGAATCCTGTCTATTCCATGAAATCAATTGCTTGATATAATTCAAAGTGAATTTATAAACTAGAAAATGTCTCCACGTGGGGCAATTAACCAGATTCTCTTTCATGTTCTTACGCCTGTTATCATCTAAATCAGAAGTTGGCAGATCATGGCCTGTGGGACAAACAAACCAGCCACCTGTTTCTGTAAATACATTTTCATTGCAATAAAACTGGGCTTGTTGGTTTGCATATTATCAGTGGCTATATTTATTCCATAATGGCAGAGTTAGGTTGTTGTGACAGAGTCATAAAGATATATATACACAAAGCTTTGCTGTCTGTCCCTTTACAGAAAATGTTGGCCAACTTCTGGTCTAAAGGAATGGCTTTTGTCCACTTAACCAGCTCAGACATGGGTTAGGGCTCTTGTTATCCTTCATCTTGCAGTTGACACCAGACTCTACCTTGTGTTACATCACAGAACCCTGCTGGCCCTGGGGTGCCACATTGCTCATGTGAATCCAGCTGCTGAAGAGGATCTCAAGAGAGTCAAACTGCCCAAAAAGTAGGTGAATTTTCTAATGACTCAAGATGAGTGTGAATGCCGAGAGGGTTGGAGGCCCATGTACAAAGGCAGATGACAGAACATATGTTCAGTAGCATCTTAGAATGTTCCCTCAGTTACTTAGATGTCACTGAGACCCTCAGAAAATGCCTACTGTAAGGAAGCATTTCAAGCCCTCTCTCTTTTTGCCCCTTCTGGCCATACCTAATACCACTATGGTTAATTTGGGGCTAGGAAGTATACCGACCTCAAATTAGTACACTGATTTTTGGTCACTAGGAAGAGCACTTGTCAAGAGCTTGGAAATGGTTCCTAGCCACTGCAGCTATTCACTCCACTCCTCTGGCACTGGGCTAACACCTAAGTCCTTTATGGAAATGAGGATCTATACCAACATTCCATTTGCCTCTCTATATCTGTGCGTCCTGCTATCGTTCCCACTTCTACATTCAGGCAAAGTCACACATTCAGATAATTGCTCACTGATACATCTTCTGGCTCATTCACTGTTTCATTCTCTTGCTCCTCAGTGCCAGCTCTGGGTACACACACAATAAAACACAAATGTCATGATAGGAGCCAAAGCAGTGCCAGCCTTAATCAAATGCTCACCATCCCCATCCTTGTTGAACTCCCACACTGATGAGTCACTATGACACATAGCACCTGGTGTCAAGGAAATCATAGGAGATGGCATCTGGAGAGGCACACCCCTAGCTGAAGTTGCTAGAACCAGTATATGTTGATGTATGTTGAGTCTGCCAGAAGCAGCTCTCCTGAGAAGGTAGAGACAAAGAGGTTTCCTGTGACTACAACAGATTCTGTATCTTGTGCTGTCCAGAGTGTTCTCTATAGAATGGGCCTTAGACTGTCACATTCAAGTTCTTGCTCTAGTCTGGGCAGTCAGTAGTCCTAAAGTCCTTTGGCATCTCTGGACTCATATTCCCACATGGATGTGATTAACTGCTCTGCAGATAGTTAACTTATTCATAGTGTACACAACCTTCCCCCTTACACCATGTATCTACCTGAGTCGTAGTAAACTCTTTCACATTTTTTACATGCTATGTCTCATATTATAGGCATTTGAGGACATGACTCCTGAGCTGGAGAGCCAACTGCAAAAGTCACTTCAAGCTCACAAATTTTCTGCTATCATGGCTTTTTGTGTTAATTCCAAGAAGAAAAGATGAGCTTTGCAGGAATGGATGGCCGTTCTATGCTAATTTATAAGAAAGCCCTTAGTTCAAGGTTTTATCCTTGCCAATCTGGTTTTAACATTTTTGATTCTTAAATATAATGGAGGGGTTTCTGCTAGTGTTGCAACATGCTGAGTGTGTCCATCATTTGCAGGACACATAAATAGTTTTCTTAGATTTAAGAATGCATTTGTATTAACTATTTTCTTCATGTTATACTTTGAAGTCTATGAGATTATATTAGTTATAAGATGGTAGGTACATTAGGGGCTTCATCTGTGAACACAAAGGAGAGTTTGTTTTATCTATCAACCAAAGAGGGGAAATTTTGTCTGTGCCCTCATTTGCTTAGTGAATATGTGTATGTGTGATGTATGTATATTTGATCTTTTTTTCCCCACCCCTGTATATTTGATCTTTATAAAATAAAATAACTGGTTAATACAGAGACACATTGCTGTTTACAGTACTGAGAGTAGGTGACTATGAATGCTTAGCCATAGATGGGTTAGCTGTATCAGCACCAAAGGCTCAGGGAACATCCCAGAAGAGGATGTAGGAAGAGTTAGAAGGTGGGAAGAAGTGCTGTGAAATTCTGTCGCATGGACATGACGTGGTTATTGCACACATGAACCCAGAGCAGCTGTACTTATCTGCAGAAGACAGCTCTGGTTATTAACAGAATTACACATGATCAAGCCAGTAAAAAAAAAAAAAAGGTAAACAGGAGGTGAGAGGAGTTCCGGAGACACTACCTCCCAAGGAGGAGCTATTGGCAGTTGATGGCTGCCTGCTAGAGACTGAGAGTCACTTTTCTTGAAGGGGGCTACTGGTAGGTTACCTGTGCTCCACTGGATGATCATGCACCCATGCAGATATGGGAAGTTCCAACTGGACTCAATGCATTATTTAAAAATACAAAAGGCATGAAATATGAAGTGAGGTATGTCGGAGGAAACATGGAGGCAATTAGAGGAGATAACAGGGTATTGATAAAGATATGTTATACATACATAAACTTTTCAAAGGATCAATTTGTAAAACTCTATTCAAAGTATGTACACTTTTGCATTTACTTGTAGCTATATGATGTCCAATGGGTATAAGCCAGCCCCTTTGGATTTGTCTGATGTTAAGCTGTTCCCACCTCAAGAAGTGTTAGTGGATAAGCTTGCAGAAAATGCACACAATGTTTGGGCAAAGGACAGAATAAAACAAGGATGGACCTATGGCATTCAACAGGTAAGGAATATTGGGTCAAGCATGCTACGGAAGTAGATGTGGTCATCCATCAAAATGTCATTTTGCTGTGAAGCATGCTAGATTGGAATGGGGCATTGCCCTTGCACTCTGTCCCTCACACTGTTGTTTGTTTATTATTTATAGAATCATGGACTGGTGAAATTTGTAACTGTCACATTGACATTGACTACAGGCGTCATTTCAATTTTGCAGAAATGGATAAAGTTTATCTTTCCTTTAGTTAGAGATTCACTGATAAAGTATGCACACAGGGTGATGTATTTTAGCTCATTCTCTGTCATATTGTTTCACTGTACAGAGTTAAGTTTTTGTGATACCCTCCAAGACCCAGGTGAGGAACAGATTTCAGGGATAGGATGTGAGAACAAATCAACATCATGGGTCAGCAGTAGTTCTGACAAGGCCCCCAAATAGCTACATTGAGGTAAATTCAGGGGGGCAATAGCCTAGAAAAGGAGTGAAGCAACCTGCCCAGAAGCCCCCCCACACACACACACTTTAGCCCATTGAACTAAGGATCCTTGGGCAGAACTAGAACTCCTAGCCTGATTATCAAGCAACCTAACAGCTCAGTTAGGTGTGTGTGGCTTCAAAACAAGGAATCCAACAGAGTTTGGAATCAGGATTCATTGCAAGCCATTTGACCCAACTTTCCCTAATCACTAAGGGTTAGAATTCAGAAAGTTCACATGAGTTAACCCATACCTCAGCCTCTGTGTTGACTTTTCTCATCACTATGACAAAATGCCCAACAGAAGCAACTTAAAGGAAGAGAAGGGCAGAGGAGTTGGCTCGTGGATTTAGAGTCTAGTCCATCATAGCGGGGGAAAGTACATGGCTACAGGAGCTTAGTTGGGGCAGCAGAAGCTTATAGCACAGCTTGTTTGTATCTTTCTGGATCAGGATGGGGCCATCACCTTTAAATGCTTGCCTACCACCCAGTGTCTCTTGAACCAGCCCAGCCTCACCTCTTAAAAGATTCCACAGGCTCCCAAAACAGCACCACAGGCTGGGGACCAGATGTTCAAACACAGGAGCTGGGGCGGGGGGGGGGGGGTGCGTATTTAAGTTTCAAACTTTGAAATTTTCCAAACTTCCCTCCAGGAAATCTGGAAGGCAAGAAGAACTCAGCTACTAAAAACATGGAGGCCTGGGAATGAGGAGGTTTGGACAGAGTGCCATGCATCTTAGTTTGATTGGCTTTCCTTGTAGTTGATCTTTCAATACTCTCATAGTCTTGCCTAAGGAACTGAGGATGACTCCATGGTACAATGTACCTTTTGTGATGGGATGGACACACTTTGCCTCTGCCACTCTTCCTAGTGTCTCTCTGATGACTTAAGATGCTGCTGTGATGGGGTGTTGACAGTAAAATGGTAGCATGAATTTCCTTAAGGGAATAGCTACACAGTCCCCATCGGCCTAACCTTCGGAATGGAGGTTGTTAACCAATTTCATGACACTTTATTTTATTTGCAAGCTGGCATTATTAAAGTGTGTTTTTAATGCTAGCTTTGAGCATTAGTAAGATTTCTCCTTTTATACTCATTTAATCCTGAAGAGAAGTGGTAAATATGCACACTGCTAAATATCAAGCCACATGGGGAAAATCTAATAGACTAGTATGAGCCAGCCAAGCAGTCAGGAGTATGTGAGCAGGATGGGCTGCTTGTAAAACTGAAATATGTTTTCTTGGCACCTTCTCTTTGGCTTCACATAGGATTTGAAGAACAAAAGAAATCCCCGTCTGGTGCCATATGTATTACTGGATGAGCGTACCAAGAAATCAAATAGGGACAGCCTACGTGAAGCTGTACGAACATTTGTTGGTTATGGGTATAACATTGAGCCATCGGACCAAGAACTAGGTAACAAGCTGTGATCATTTATTATCACAATAGTTTACTAAGCAAGTCCTCTTATGGGGAAATGTTACCTTTAAATAGGTCTAATTTATACTATGGGAAATGGTACAGTTCTTAGAATGTGGTATTCTTGAAGAATTTCATACGTGCATACAATGTGTTTTCATTATATTCCCCCATTTCTCCTCCCCCTAACTCTAAATCTGCTCTCACCCTTCCTCATTCTAACTTTATGTCCATTTTTGTTTTTATAACCCACCAAGTTCAATTTGTTCTGCCTAGTGGTATATTTTGGAGGGTAAGCTTTGTAGTCAGAAGGTTCTCCAGTTCCGCCAGGCCCCCACAGTCCTGTGGCCCACTTATAAAATGATAACTCAGAAGCTTATATTAATTATAACTGCTTGGCCATTAGCTCAGGCTTATTACTGACTAGCTCTTACACTTAAATTAACCCATAATTCTTATTTGTGTTTAGCCACATGGCTTGGTACCTTTTCTCAGTTCTGCCTTGTCTTATTGCTTCCTCTGTGTCTGACTGGCAACTCTTGACTCAGCCTTCCTCTTCCCAGAATTCTCCTCTCTACTCGCCCTACCTATACTCCTGTCTGGCTACTGGCCAATTAGTGTTTTATTTATCAGTCAATCAGAGAAACACATATTCACAGCATACAGAATGACATCCCACAACAGGGATGAAGCATTATCCCATTGACAGATGGTTTAAAAATGAAAATGCATACAATATACTCTGATCCTGATTTCCCCTCCCCATCTCCTCCCAGATCCTCCCCACCTCCCTACATTCAACTCCACACTTTCACCTTATTTCTTTCTCTCTTTAGAAAGAAAAAAACAAGAAAAATAAAAGCAGAATTTAAAATAATAAAATAATGAAAAACACAAGAGACACACACCAAAAAAATCCATAAAACACAAAATTGAAAACCATAATATGCAAGGAAAAGTCCAATAAGGTTTTTTTTTAATGTTCAAACAAAGCAATGTGAGGCAAAAAAAATCTATGAAAATACCATTGAGGTTGTTTTGTGTTGACCATCTACAGCTGGGTATGAAGCCTTCCCTTAAGCATGGTTTATATACCCAGTGAGACTCCATTGGAAAAAACCCAATTTTTCCTTTGATTGCCAATTGGAGATAGCCTCTTGGTTAGGGATGGGAGATCATGTCTACTTCCCCCTCTCAGTGTTGCGATGCCATCTGGCTTGAACCTGTGCATGCCTACTGACAGACATTTTTACAATGTGCTTTTCTGTGACCCAGCCCTATGGTGAATACATTTTCTTTTGGGTAGCTAAGCTTTTCAGGATACCTGGTTACAGAATCAAATCACATTTATTGTCTCTCATCCTCCAAAATTTGAATGCCAGATTATTTAGAGATCAGGAAATGACAGTTTCAAGTTAAATTCTATTACCTGCAACTTACCCTGGAAGTACTGAAGGCCATGGTGGTTCATGAGATGGAATCAGTCCTGGATTCGGAGCTTTTATTCTGTTTATTCTGTTGCTGAACAAGTGATGGAACCTCTCTGACCCTCACTTTTTCCATCCTGACATTATAAGGTTATTGTGAAGAAGTCACTATGAAGTCAATATTCAGTAAATGTTGGTTCATGTCATTGTTGTGGTGTCATGACAGTAATGATGAGTGTTATGGTATAAACAAAATGCTTCACTGGACAATGGGAGGCCTATGATCATCTTAGTTGTTGACATCAAGTTCTTTGAGGAATACATAATTAAAAGTCTGTGACCTCTCTTTCCCTCCTCCCTATCTTCTGCTTCTCACAGTAGCTGACCCCACTGTTGAGAAGGTCAGCATAGACAAGATTCGATTTTTCCGGGTAGAGCGGTCATATGCCGTAAAGTCTGGAAAGTGGTACTTTGAATTTGAAGTGATAACTGGAGGAGACATGCGTGTTGGCTGGGCCAGGCCAGGCTGTCGTCCTGACATTGAACTGGGGGCTGATGACCAAGCCTTTGTGTTTGAAGGCAGCAGGGTGAGTCCATTCAGTAGCCACACTCCATCAAGACAAGTTTACTATTCTAGAGTTTTCCTTGGAGGCTGGAACTACTGGGTGTCTGGGTCTTAGTCTTCAGAGAGGATAGCTACCACCACTGAATAATAGACACTGAATGAGTATTGTGTAGTGATTGCTTCTTTGCTTTTGATCCTGAGAAAGGGGAAGACTATATCCCACACCCTCTCAGTAATCACCTCCACTTCTGCCCTTTCCCCCATGATGGCTGGCTCTGCTCCAGGGGTAACCCACTCAACACTATGAAGCCAATGTACTGAGATTCTTTTGTATGTGCTAGGAAGAATTGTGTTTACTGTCAAGGCTGACTATGAACCAGGAAACTCAGGCCATCTTATCTCATGACACTTGTGTGTCCCAATTTCATTCATCTGTAAGATAGACACCTACTCCTGTGGGCTATGTGTGATAGACTCTTTATAGAGATCATCTGCCACTAGAAATTAGGAGATCCTCTTTCTGTGGCCATTTCTCCAGCTTCTGGGATTCTTGGGCTTTTTTTTTGCTCTTCTTCTCTAAGACTATGGTCTTGTTTTGCAGGGTCAGCGTTGGCATCAAGGTAGTGGGTATTTTGGACGAACTTGGCAGCCCGGAGATGTGGTCGGGTGTATGATTAACCTGGATGATGCTTCCATGATCTTCACACTGAATGGGGAGTTGCTGATCACCAACAAAGGCTCTGAACTTGCCTTTGCTGACTATGAGGTTGAGAATGGTAAATCCACCACTAGGGAAACACGGGTGGGCTGCTGGAGCTTTGTAGTACTCTATTAAGAGTACACTATCCTTTCCATATTCAAAACCCCAAGAGAGATGGCCTTCCATCCTTTATACTGCAAGTTCTGAAGAGTCAGACAAAATATGGTGACAGTCAGTGTGTGATTGTAAATATAAATTCTGTCATGAGGCTAATTCCATGTCCTGTGCCCTGACATTTTAAGATTCCCCAGATTTGCTTTAGTGCAATGGAAATGGTAATTGTGTATGGTGGAATGTCATTGGCAGGAGAGAAAGAAAAATCAGTGGATTAAAGAGTTATCCTTTTATTCTGATTTGAATTGTCATTCTGCCTGTTTGTGTAATTGAACTTGATGCTTTGATGAGAACCATTGGAACACAAAAGCTAGATTTAGCTGTTCCCTTGAATGAAATATAATTGATTTTGAAATTCAAACACACTGGGAAACCAAAGCAGAGTTGTACTTATTATTGGCCATAGATGGAGGACAATCAGGGCAATGCTTGCAGCGACACAAAGGAGCAGTTAGCGCTTATTATTTTTCTGTCTGCATGACCGTACAAGATAGACACAGATTGCTGGCATTTGAAGAAAGAGCGCTGGACTACAAGCTGGCAGCGCTGCTCCTTTTAAACTGTGCAACTCCTGTGGAGACTGCTTGACTGCTCTGGGCTTCAGACTCTTCGTCTATCAGTGTAAGAGGATAGAAATAAATTCCATTGTTCTTCCCAGATTTGAAATTCTGACAGTGACATAACACAGCTGCGTGCTCGTCCCTGTGCTGTGTGTGTGCTGTACTCAGCGTCATGATTTCAGATAGGAAGGATGCTGTTCTGAGTCTGGAGACAAGAGCCCTCATCCTACACCTGCCTACTTGTGACATCTCAACCTCTATGAGCCTCATTTCCCCCTCCGTAAATGATTAGAACTACTTTTAGCCAGAATTTCTGAGAGGTTATGAACATAAAGAGTCTGTCTAAAAGACACTAGAGAGATGTAACTGCATGAGCAAGAGAATAAAAATATATAAAGCCTTGTTCACATGATAGAAATGTTCGTTACTTACAGAGTGTTTTAGCTTTTTGAGGACATACTTTTTACAGACACCTGTTGTCTGCAATGTACAAGTCCAGCTGAACCACTCAAGAGGTCTCCAGGAGTCTAATATTGGGGGAATTAGAAAGGTTGCAGCTGAATCTGTTTTCTTAGAGAAAAGGAATCACTAAATGCAGGTGGGGGTCATACTTTAATGCCTTTTAACAGATGTAAGATCCATTTTGAAGAATGCCCTGATTGGAGAGTTGAGTGGGAAGATGTGTATTGCCGGCAGATGGAATGGCAACTGTGCGGCTTTGGATGCAAATGAAAGAGACACAGCAGAGGATATCAGTGCAGTGTAGGGAGTCATCCCAGGGTCCCAGCATGTGCAGTGCTGTATCCCTGAGTTCAGGAAGAGAACGAAGGACTAGACAATCCAGGTGTTTCCCCCAAGGAAAATAGGAAGAGTCCATAGACCAACAACACTTCTTCCCTGACTTTATTGCTGTGTGACCTAAGGGGATTATGTATCTACTGCCTTTGGTTCATTAAGAAAGATGAGAATCTTGTCTGACTTGCAGTGTTGGGAACTTTGTGAAGTTTGAATAGCTTTGCATTAAGTATAAAGCCTTGATATTCAAGGTATATCCCACCTTGTTAAAAATGCAGAATCTCAGTCCCACAGCAGAATCAAAGTCTGCATTCTCCCCAGAGGCTCTGGCGATGTGCATATACCTTACCTTCTGAGAAGCAGTAGTCTAACACAGGAGCAAAGGCAAATGGTGGCCATGCAGAAAAGCTCCTTTCTAATTGTGGAGTAAGATGAAAATAGGGAAAGGTGACTAATAATGCAGAACATGAGTTATAAACAGCAAGTGACTAATGCGGAGTGAAAAAATCTCACACAAGTGGCATCTGAATTGAATGTTGAATAAAGAATCCAGAATGAGTAAGTCAAAGGAAAAATGTAACCCCATCAAGATGCAAGGAGACTAGGGTTATAGCAGCAGGAAGCCTCAGGAAGGGGTGGGACAGTAAGAAGGTAGAGATTTATATATGGGATGGATAAATGATCGAGCTGGCAAGGTAGATGCAGTGTAGATTGTGGCCTTACATGTCAAGACTCAGTCTTCTCATCCAGGAAATTCATGTCTAACCGGAGCTGAGCATCCTTGGACTTCACCTTGTGAAATGGGTATACTACAGTATTTGAGCAGAGAGATGCTATCAAAGAGAGAACTGTTTGAGAGTAGCTCAGTTTTCAAAGATTATCTGTGCTGTGATGAAAGAGATGCCTTTTTTTGTGCAGGGACATGATCTGACCTTCAGAATAACAAATTCTATTCTTAGGACGCTGTCTGATAATAGACTTGTACTGTAATATGTTTGTGCATTATACTGTAGTATTGTATCTGCTTTAATAATACAGAGACAAGATAATTGGAAGGCTCTTTCAGCTCTGTGATAGCACAGGAGTGGGCAGAGAGATGGTTGAAAGGAAGCTGATGTGTCGTTCTTTAATAACAACAGCCCAGAGGCCAGTGATAATCATACCGCGTCTCTTTGTTCGGTACAAAACATGGAACAAGGCAGCAAATCTTGCCTTGACTTTTAAGAGAACCATCTGTTGAAACTAAACATCATGTTTTGTAATCACCTTAAGGTACAGTGCCCTATGTACTGGTACTCTTCAGGTCACCAGTGTGTCATCCTAGATCCAAGATCCTCAGTAGGGATTGTTAGGTCTTCTGTAGAAGAGTGAGAACAACCATTGTAGGAAGTACCTTCTCTTTTGTTTCAGAAGAGTTATGCAGTCATTGTTGTCTCTATCCTCTTCTGCATCACAAATAGTAAGCTCTTATCTGTTTCATTGTCTCCTGGTCTGGTCCCTGGCCTAGACCATCATAGCACTTAATATTGTCACAGCCTTGTGTATCTGGAAGCTTCCCGTGTATCTGGAAGCTCGGAAGCTTCCAAAGTAGAAGCTTTGCAGTAAGGCTTCACATTTCCTTCACTTAAAGCAAAGAGAGAGAAAATCTGAAGATTCTGCCAGACCTTGGGATGAGACAGCTGGAATAGGCTTTGGTGTGTGCAGTCCCCTGAGGAACATCCTCTCTTGCTTCAGCTTTAGAGTTTATAGGGAGAGCCTTTTGTGCTGTTCCTACCCATTGGTCTAAGTCAAAAAGATCCCAGAACTCTGCTAACAGCTAGAGTTAGAAAATAAAACTTCTTTAATGGAAATGCCCCTGCCATCTGTGGCCTTGTGCGAAAGGGTCCCGTTAATATCATTCTCTCTCTAGATGGTGCTGTGCTTAGAAACTTGATGTGGCATAGAAGTGTTGCCTCCTGTTTCCTGAGCATTCTATGCAAGCTCCAGTCATGACAGGGTTGTCTCTGAATTCCATCTTGAGGCTTAGCAGTAAATAAAAAGAATAAAAGCATGTGCCATGGTTGACGTTCAGAGTAATACCCCAAGAACGGCCCAGAGTCATCTAACCACCTCTCTGCAAGATCTGTTTCTGCCCTACCACTAGTGATGCTCCTCATGTCTGTCTATAGATTGAAATGAATGACAATCAATCATCATTTGGATTTTCCAGATAATTGTTTCTTTCCAACCACCAACCACTGTCAGGAGTGATTGTCATGAGATATTGTGGGCCATGACACAATTATAGCTTATAGCAATTGATAATTCAGGTGTCAACCCACTAGAGGAACTGTTCTCGATGGGATAATCTATTGAGCAAAGCTTATAGGTCACTGGGTCTGAAAACTGTTGCCTTCATCTATAATTTTACTTGTACAAGAATAGTTACGGTATCTCCCCATTACCATGCATTTTCATGTAATGTGTATATGTAATCTCATGATTGCATCTCAATCTTTGGGTACACACATTTGTGGGTGGTCAGGAAGAGGACTTCTCACTGAGCTGTACAATTTTGAAATATGGACAATATACTAGGATATGCTTCATGGCTGGATCCGTTGTTTCACCAAGACTGTAGACACTTAAAAGCCTACCTTGTTCCTTTAACTCAGACTAACACAAGAAAATAACAATTTCTCCTCAGTCTAAGACTAACTGCACGAATTTTGCTCATTTTTACCTCAGAGCAAGTTCAAACTAGACTAAAGGCCTTTGTAAATAGATCATAAGTTTAAAACTTTACAATTATGCACAAGGTCAGAGTTGCAGGTGTCTAACCAAGGTTATGTATATAAAGTTCCCTAAGAAAAGCATGCCAGTTCTTCACTTGCCACATCTGCTCATAAAGACCTATGTCTCAGAGTTTGTCACACTGGGCACTGTGTCCCCTCCCTGTGGTCCTGAAAGCTTGAAACCTTGTGTTGCCATGGTAAATGGCTCGGCGTCCTATTGCTTACCCTAGGAATGTTCTTTTGACCAATAAGAGGTAACTCTTGTAATTTTTTTTATTGCTTCAAGCCTCCTATAAAAAGAGGGTTTTTGGGGGCTAGATGGGTAGAAGCAGGAGGATTAGAACAGAGAATTAGAGCTAAGAAATTATAGACAATTGGGACAAGAAAAGTAGAAGACTAAAGAGACATGTTTGGCACAGCATGCGTGTGAGAGAGAGAGTTCCTTTCACTTCCTGTGGCAGCTAATCTGAACCCTGAAGATAGTTTTCAGAGCTGGACTCTGAGGCTATTGGTAAACAAACCATCAACCACATGAAATTTAAAACAAACCAAAACAAAACAAAAACCACCCCCTCTTAATCACAAAACTAGTATGAGATACCACGCATATAATACCAAGTTTACCAGAACCTGGGATCCTCTGAAAATTTTAAGTTCATGTTTTCTTCTTCTTGCTCTCTTGGGATGGCAGTTCTATATACATGGTTTGATTTAATTCCGTTTGCATACAATCTTGAACCTCTTCAAAGTTGTCTGCATAGTCACATCTTTTTGCTGAGTGTAAGGAAGGGGCAGAGGAAGATGGCATTTTTACTCCTTTTATTTATCTTCTTCCTACATCTCCAGTCTCAGTTAGGCTACAGGTTAGTTGGTTGTGTATGTAGTGACTGTCCTAGTTTGTGACAATAAAATCTGTGCTAATGGTAATGTCATATGGCCTTGCCAAGTGGGTCCTGTTATCCATGTAAACTTCAGAGAGTCATGTGGATCCCTGATCCCTGTGTACAGGTAGACCTGTTCCTCTAAGGGAACTGTATGTCTTCAACAGTCTAATCAAGAGGCAAAATGGTGAACTATATGACTCAGCAGCATTTGCAGAGGGAAGGAAGATCTGGCCACAAAGGAAATTAGTTTAGAGTAGACTTGGAAAACAGCTACCCTGGCTTCCACCTTTGATGTTTGCTCTGGAGTTCTACTCAGACCACAAGTGTCCACATACCCATGCTACAGTTTGCCTAGTAAAATTGAGCAAGTTACTTAATTCCCTAAGTCCTGGTCTCTTCATCTGTAAAATGAGCATAAAGACATAAATCTGTAGAGTGTTCAGCCCAGCATTCAGAAAGCAATTGACAATTACTTGTTGTTGTAGTTTATTGCATTATTTTTGCCCCTCTCTCTTATCTGTCATGCAGAATTATAAAGTTACATGAAATATTCATGCATTGAGTTGAAAAGTCCCAAGACAGTGAGATGGTTAGCTAGACCTGGTTGGATAGATGGAAAGAGTTGAGTGAATGTGGCCAGCTATCAAATATCCTTCTCCAAAAGAAAGAGCTTCATGTAAATTCATCTTTCTTCTATGACTTCCTAGGTGTCCTTTGCCTGATTCAAGCTTTAGCGTTACCTTCTCTTCTACTGCATCACTGAGCTTCTGTAGCTCTACCACTTAGCCCCCCAGGGGTCCCCAACACTTACCTCCCATTGCTCTAGCATCTGTGACTTCTATTGCTTTTATATTTCTTCTACTGTGTTCAGCCTTCCCCAGAAGAGAGGGCTCCAGCCCACAGGGACAGTTACTCCATTCTATAACGTGATGTCCTCTACCCTCGGACATACTGCCAATTAAATCCAGGGCATTCATCCCTGTACCATCTATCTACTTCTATCATGCTGACTGGCACTGGCTTGTGACTCAGAGGGTATGAGATCATATCTTACTGGTAGTCCTCCTCATGACCTTGGTCAAGTCAGTCAGTGCCTTAATTCTTCAGTTTCATCCTAGTTGATTACTATCTCTTAATAATAATGAAGGACCCAAGTTCCTTAGGGGGAAAAAGACTCAAAGCAAGTAATACTTCTCTCACTTTCATTTGTTGGTGGGTCTGTGTCAAGGCTAAGTCATCTTTTTGCTGCTTCCCATCCAGAATTTTACACCTGCTGAGTGTCTATCCCACAATTCTACAAAAGAGGAAAGGAGAAGAAAGTTTCTTAAAGTTTCCTGGTCTCTGCTCACATCAAGCTTGGAGTGTTTAATATCTGGGCTCTAAGATAAAAGCACCATAGTATTGCATTTCTGGCTTGAGTTAACCCTTTGTCAGAATGACTGAAATACTGTCTTGGGAGAAAGGTGGTTTACATCAAAAACATTCACTCTTTTAAATTCCATTCCCTGTAATGAGCTCTTTGAGACGGGAGTAGTTCCTCTTCATCCCTGAAGTCTAGTTACAACATGTATCAGAGCCTCCTGTCCCACTAAGGAACTAGGAACGTTTTCTGGTAATCTTTGTTCTACCCTGTAGTCAGATTTCCAGGTAACTTGTTTATAAGTAGCAAGCATAGCATTGCTAGGGCAGCTTCTGGTTTAGTCTACTGCCTCTCTGGAGTGACAGGGCCAGAGATCTGGCCCCAGTGTTTGGTGACCACCAGAGGACTCTGTCATTCTGCTAGGAGGACATTAATGTTCTCTAGTTTTAACAATGGTACTAAACACATCTCTATCCTAAATATGTTTGTATTTCCTAATATCACCAACTATGCAGTGCTCAGTTCATCTATGTGGACACCATGGTTTATCTGGCGAAAGTGCCTGTATATAATAAGAATGCCATGGCTTAGAGGACAATATGTAAGTACTTACTCTACAAAGAATGCAGTTTGCCCTTGGCATATGAACAATATAAAAAGTTCTTACTGTTTGACATAATGTCTCAAAATTGCCCTTTTTTCCCAGAGAAGATGAAAATGTCTTCCTGAAACACATTATTTCACACACTAAAAAATATTAATAGTAAAACCATTTCTCCTAGGAGTGTCACCAGTTTTCTTTGTGGGGAGCCCCAGTGCCTGCACAAGGCATCGGCCTCAGGGATGTTCCTTCCCTTCCTGGCCCTCTCGCAGCTTCAGCTGTCTCCCAGCCGCCTGCCTCCCACATCCTCCCAGATCCAAGATAATTAGTGCTTTCCCTACTTTCCTGATTTGTTGGTCTACAATTATGATTTATAAATAACCCACAAACAAGAACGCCAGACAATCTGAACTTCTGCTTTGGTCTGTTGTGAATGTTTAAGTATGATCAGGTCATAGAAGTGAGCTTGGAGAGATGACAGTAGTGGTGGCAAAGAAAGGTCGCAATGTGTCTGGCGTAGCTCGGCTCTCGTGTTCCTCCTCAGGTGAGGGGGACAGTAGACAAGGGGGTGGAAGCTTATAAACTAGCAGCAATATAGTCTTAGTAGTCAATGCTCTCAAAACACAAAGGACCATTGACCTCTCATTCACTGAGGAGCTGTCTGAGGCCCAGAACAGTTGAATAATTCTCCCTGCACTTCATTTTTATTGTTGAATTCTGTTCTTTGACAGTGTTGTGTAGGGGCATGTATCCTGATTACATGTCCCACACAGCCCTCTTTTTTCTCCCTCCAGTCCTTGTCAGTGACCTCTCATCCCTTAGAGTTCCTTGCCCAGATTCTTGACTTTTGGTTTGATTTTGTGACCCATTTAATTTAACTCGGGCCATCTGTGTGACCTCTAGATTGGAACTATCATTGGAACTCATGGGGTTGCCAATAAGAATACAACTAAGGGTATAACTACCACTGTTACTGAATCTATCAAGAGCTAATAGTTATTAGTGAGGGGCAAAGCCCCTTGAGTCCCACCTCCATCCATGCCTGACTGTTGATAGGCCTATTCTTGTGAAGATTCCATGTAGACATCCACACTACCAATGAGTTCATAATTACAGTGGCTGTGTCTTGCCCAGAGGATGTCTTATCACAGTCCTACTCTCTGTCTTCTGGCTCTTTCCACTGCTGCTTCCAGAATGCTTTCAGAGGGAACGGTATAAATGATAAATGTCTTGTTTAGGGCTGAGCACTCTTCTACCACTTATTCTCCACACTTTGGGCATTCACCAACATTCTGTGGAAAGAGAGACTTCTCTGTTGAAGCATGAGTGTAACACTTCTCCATGGGTGTAAGTACATGTTTAGAAGGCAGCTTGACACTATATCAATGCAGCTGAACAACAGCATCTAATTATCCTGCTTGGACCTAAGCGCTTTTCTTCCATGGGCCATGTATTTTTAACCAGGTTTACAGTATGTATCTTGGGTTCCCTGCAATGGGGGCAGGCCTCAAATCCAATCATAAAACACTTGTTTAGCCCCCATAAGAGTAGTATCAATAGATACACTGTCATCTTTTAAATTAACTGCAGCATGTGTACTTAAGATCTAAAGTTACTGTAGTAAAGAAATTAACATATTTGTTATCTCACATAGTTGACCATTTTCTTGGTTTTTATTTGTTTTTGTTTTGTTTTATTTTGCTTTATGTCTATTTTGTTTTTAGTTGTGTTTTTATTTTCTAAGACATGGTCTCACTGTGTAGTCTGGCCTGGCCTCAAACTCCCTGTGTAAATACACTGGTCTAGATCTTTGGATCTTCCTGCCTTAGCTCCCAATGGCCGGGATTACAGTTGTGCCCTACCAGACACCATGTCTTCATTGTTGTTACAAAATTGCTTTGTTTCTATTTATTTTACATGTATGGATATTTTGACTGCATGAATTTTGTGAACAACTTGCATGACCTGTGCTGGCAGAGGCTGGAAGAGGGAGGGCTTTGGGTACCCAGGGACTGGAATGGTTGTCAACTTCCATGTAGATGCTGGAAATCAAACCTGGGTCCTCTGGAAGAGCATTCAATGCTCTTAACTGTTCAACCATCCTTCCAGGCCCTAAGATCAGTTCTAAATAAGGCATAGATAATAGATTTCACTTTTTTCAAATTCGTTTTACTCTTTCATCTTAAAAACACTCGTAGCTGCATGATTTTTTTCACAAATCAATTTAAAGAAAATTCACCTTTCTCTCCATATACTAAGGGCAGTGTTGTGTCCAGGCAGCTTCCTGTTGTTGATTTTGTGTGCCAAAAAGACAGGTGAGGGTTGTTTTCCTGAAGCTCCCAATCTGAACAGGAAGTACAGCTCCAGCCTCTCCACAGCTTCCCCCCAATGGTACCTCCGCACTGAAGCCACAATCTTTATTCTGCAGGTTTTGTGCCCATTTGCTCTCTGGGACTGTCACAGATTGGCCGCATGAATCTTGGGACAGATGCCAGCACCTTCAAATTTTATACCATGTGTGGCCTCCAGGAGGGCTTCGAGCCTTTTGCGGTAAATATGAACCGAGATGTAGCAGTGTGGTTCAGCAAGCGCCTCCCAACGTTTGTGAATGTGCCGAAGGATCATCCCCACATAGAGGTAACCTTACACCATGGGTGGTCCCTGCAGGGCGAGTGGGCCAAGGCATTAAGTTTTCACAAAGCCTGCTGTCAACAGGAAATGGTTACCTAAGTCCCCACCCTGGCTGCCTACCAATCACCTCCTCAGGTCTTCATAGCTACAGTTGCAGACCCTTTAACTTACAACACCCCACAAGAGCTAATAGCCTTGTACACAATTTTCCAGACTGCTTCCCAGGCTAGGTCACCAGATTTTTTGCATGCATTCCTACAGGGGCATTGCCATGGTACTTCAGTGTCCAGAGACTTAAAACATTGTTTTCTTCACAAAGTTGAACAATTCTACTTGGCATTATATATGATAAAAATGTGTGTTCCTCCATGTGTATAACTTACCTTTGCAGCCTTATTTATATTGGTGCTGTTACTAGCATTTAAGCTGAAGTGGGAGACTTTATTATGGCGCTTCCACCTTTAAGGAAAGCAAAGAGCTTAAGAGTGTAAGAAGCCAAGTTTGGGTTCTGGATCTGTTTTGATGAGACCCACCATGATTTTTCACATGATGGACATGGGGAAAAGAGTGCTTTCAAATAAAGCATTTCAAACACTTCGTTGCAGTGTTACTTGGGATCAAGACAGTGGTTTGCTTCCAACTGACTCTAAGCCCCCCACCTCACCTTCTAGAAGGTCTGAACCTGGCAAGCCCCAGCTCTTAATTGTTCCTCCCCCATTGACCCTCACATTTGGGGGTAGATTGTATTTCTCTGGTTGCAGGATAACCATTATTTTAGAAGTGTGGTTCTAAATCCTGGAGGTCTCACACACCTTTGGTGAACTAATAGACTCTAGACTGGAAAAATAGAAAGTCTGATAGAAAGTGTGTTAGAAGGCACTTGTAAGTTTAGTGCCAGGGAGGCAAAATCAGCCAGATCCTTGGCGCTTTTTAGCCAGCCAGCCCAGCCTAGTTACTGAACTCCAGGATAAAGAGAGAACCTGTCTCTCAAGACTGATTGTTGGCCTCCACACACAGGTACATACATGTTCTTGTGCTTACATACACACATGTGCACCCATATGAACACACACACACACACACACACACACACACACACACACACACAAACATACACGAAAGTAAATTATTAATAATGCAGGTTACCACTCTGCAGTACCTGTGGTCCAACGCCATAAATTGTCTCAGGATTTAGAGCAGGCTCAGGACACCTCAGCTCTAGAGCTGGGACTCCAGCACTGTTGGAAACCTATGGGGTAAAAGTACCCTCTGAGAGAGTTTGTGTGGTTCTTCCTGACTTTGAGGTTTTCTGGTCCCTTTCTGTAAGATGTTCTCATGATGCCCACTGACAATGGAAATCTTTGGAAAGATTTTCTTTCTACCACTTACCCCCCAATTTAGAAGGTCAACGTTATGAGGACACCATACTATATCACCCAGACAGCCTTACCTCTCAACAGTATTTGTTCTCCATCCTTGGCCTTGTAGTGAACTTATGGGTGTGTTTAACATCACTAATTTCTCCAGCCAGAGAAGTTTCAACTCCAGAGCTGAAGTTTCCTAGCAGACCTCTTGAATGGCATCATTTGCTTTATTGCTGGTGATATTCATAGTTTCCTGAATGTCTTGTTCTATGTTAGGTCGGTGAGAGACAGGAACAGGGTCAAGGTCACACCCTCCTATATATCAGGTTAAGGACTCATGGTAATGTTCCCAGGTTGTGAGGATTGATGGCACCATGGACAGCCCCCCATGCCTCAAGGTGACCCACAAGACATTCGGCACACAGAACAGCAATGCCAACATGATCTACTGCCGCCTGAGCATGCCCATCGAATGCCACTCCTCTTTCAGCCACAGCCCCTGTCTAGACAGTGAAGCCTTCCAGAAAAGGTGAGGGTGTGGGACAGTCCTGTAATTCTCAGAGGTACCGTTTCTGCTTATTTTGTACTTAACCACAACATAAGAAGTGAGTTTACAGTGGCCTCTGCTTTCAGTCAGGTAAAGAAATGAGGATGTAAATGGCTGGGGAGATAATTCTGTCTGTAAAGTGTTTGCTGCACAGCATAGAGACCTGTTTGGGTCTCCAGAACCATGTTTGTTTGTTTGTTCTTAAGAAAGATATTGTGGCATATACCTGACCTCCCAGTGCTAGAGAGCAGAAACAGGTAGATCGCAGGTGCTCGCTCACTGGACAGGCAACCTCTCAAAAACAAAGTAGATGGAGGCTGGGGAACAGCCCCTGAGGTTGATCTCTAGCCTCCGTCCTCATGTACATACATGTGCATATGTGCCTATACGTATGTGTGCATCTATACATCTATGTGCCCCTGCATGCATGCACAAATTTGTACCTGCACACATGCACACACAAACACACACAAAGAAATGACTATATATGTGTGCGTGAGTTCATGCAAGGGCATGTGTGTATGGAGGTGCACACAAAATTAAGAAGCCCATGCAGCTAAACAGAGCAACATCTGGAGAGGATGTTTCTGCTTTTCTTGGAATCTCTGAGCTTGGGCCTCTTTGTGTTCATAATTCTTGGAGTTTGAGAGCAAAAAGACTGCTTCTGTGTGGAATGAGAAATTTCCGGAGGCCAATTGCTGTCTTTGCATAGCTATGGGCATTTCCCACCCTTGCCTCTGTGTGCCTCTTGAGTAATGTGATTTCTTCCCTCCTCATGAGGAATGGATTCCTTGCTGTCTTTCTTTCCTTTGATGTCTATTTTTAATCGCTGGTGTGTGCCTACTGTCTAAGCTGTCTCGTTCAAATCTCTCGTAGCAGTTCACTATCCACCAAGGTTTTGAATAAGCACAGCTGCTTGAGGGAACATAGGAACCCATTCAGAGGCATCTCTACCTGTGTTATTACAGTGCCCCCATCCTCCTCCACATTAACTTACAACCTGCAGCAGGGGGATGCTGGAAGTCATAGTACTGCCTATGGCAGCAGCTTACAAATGAGCAACTCCCAAGACCAATTGCAGTCACTTGTGTATAGAAAACAGCCAGTTTCCTAAACCTGCCTTGATCGTTAAGGGTAGATCAATTGCCTGTCAGAACTGTGGCGTTCTCTACACAACTGAATAGCTAAAATGTGGATTATCTCCCCCTAGGAAACAGATGCAAGAAATACTCTCTCATACAACAACAGTAAGTAAATATGCTCAATTATGGCTTTAATTATTTGATCTGCTCCTCCTGGTACTATGTCCCACACAGCAAAGATTTGTCTAGAGATCTTCTTTAATTGTCAATTATTCTGTCTCATAATATACATTTGGATGCTTCTAGAACATTTCTATGGTGTTTGTCGAGTAAGGGAAGGAAAGCAGAGCTCAACCTGGAGCTCCTAATTGGGCATCATGTGTCCTTGTTACCCATTTGCCACCAGGGACCCATCACTGCCTTTCTGATTGAAAGAAACATGAGTTGGAAGAGTCCCCATTAAATCCTTTTGTTTGCTCTTTTGTGTCAACTTCTATGAGTCGGTCCCCTGGTGTCTCTGTTCGGTGCCAGGAACAATCTTGCAAGCAATCAAAGAAGGGGCAGGAAGGCAGCCCAGAGGATAGAAGCTACTTCAGGTTCCTTTCCTCAGTGACAGTAGTCAGGGGAAAATGCTTCCTAGTTTCCTTCTTCCTTTCTCCCTCAGCACCTGGTATCCATGGGAGAAATACAAGCCGCCCCTTCTGTAAAGTTCCCCTTGAGTTCATAAACTAAACAACACCAAAACCAAGATTCTTGCTGCAAGAAATCATGCCCCTGCTATTGTGGGCACTATGGCCCAGAACATTATGTATATTCCTATTTAATCTCCATTAAATTGACTTAATCACAACCCCTGTGAGATACGTGATACTGTGTACAGAGAAGACAAAAGACTTACCCAAGCTCACACAATAATAATCAGTTGTGCCAAAGATTCAAGCCTAGGGCTTTTCTGACTATGCTTTTTTTTTTTTTTTTTTGGCTTAGTCAAGAAAAATTTGGCATAGTACGAGTAAGTAAACCTACTCAGTGTCGTAAAGAAAGGAATGAAGTGGTCACCTTCCTTGGTGCCATAGCTATTACTATAATGTGGTGATAAGCCTCACAGATTGTATGATCCTCATTGGGAATTTTTATCCTCACCACTGCCTATGGGTGGCATAAAGGTCACATAAAGTGGGTAGGTGGCTGGGACATAAGTATTTTCTTTTTCAGCTTTCTCAAGACTTTGCATAAACCAAAGCCTTTCCTGAGTCTAGAGTGCAGCATGGTATACCTCCTCAACAGTGTGTTGCTTTAGCCAGACATGGTGACACAGACTCAGAGGGACACCACAAGTTCAAGGCCAGCCTGAGCTACAAAGTGAGACCCAACTTGGGAAAAGCAAAAGAAACCTTCCATGTGTACTTCTTCATAAAAATGAGCCCAGTGAACTGGTGACTGATTTTATCCCTCAGCTCTCCTCCCCAGACAGACACCACTCACGAATTCTCTTATCCCCTCCACAGCAATGCTACTATGCTATCCGCATTTTTGCTGGGCAGGATCCATCATGTGTCTGGGTTGGATGGGTGACTCCAGACTACCATTTATACAGTGAAAAGTTTGACCTGAATAAAAACTGTACCGTGACTGTCACCCTGGGAGATGAAAGAGGTCGGGTCCATGAAAGGTAAGGGGGATCCCAAGAGGCTCCTTTCTCCCTACAATAGTCACTTACACCTCATCCTTCACCCCAGATAGAGAAAGCATCCCAGCCTGTCTTAAAAGGTGAACAGGAACTTAACTTTTAAAATCATTAAAGAAACTGGGATCACCATGACAGTGAGAAGGGAGTGTCTGTAGAAACAGAGGTTCATTTATCACACATATAAATCATAATTCAGGGATGGGAGATAAAGATAGACAGTTGGGGTCAGAGAACCCTCTTGCATTTGCTCCATAATTTTGAGGCAGGTCTCAATTTCTACAACATCAGAACAAGACCGAAAAATTCCCTGTGTGCCTAAGAGAAGCTAGTTTGGGGACAATTGAACAGATGAATAGTAGCACACATCAAATGACAAGTCAGAACACCTCATCCCAAGGGTTTATAATGTCTAAAAACATAAAGAATATAAAGGAAACATGGAAAACCCATTAATAACAACTAATGAGTAGAAATTAGGACTCTTTGGGGGAAATGCGTTTTAGCCCCCACTGGGTTCTCCATTGTCCACTGGCACTGCTCTCAGGGAAAATCTTTGCCTAGATGTGAAACTCGATCCTAATTAGTCTTAACAATAAAAACTAGAGTCAGATAGCAGGGTGAAAGCTGAAAGAGCAGAGAAGCAGAGCAGCAGCTACTAGAGACTTCATCTTACCCCTATGAAATCTCAGACCAAAATGGGGGCAATCCTGTCTCTACAAATCCTCAGACTGAATGGGGCAAGATCCTGTCTCCACTCACCTACATTCCTGTCTCCAACTCCCTAGTGCTGGGATTAAAGACGTGAGCCACCACCACCTGGCTATTTCTCTTTTAGAGTCGTTCAATCTCCTGTAGCCCAGGGTGGCCTTGAACTCCTGATCTTCCTGCTTCCTCCTCCCAAGTGCTGGAACTGAAGTTGTGAGCCTCCCAGGTGCTGGGATTAAAGGTATGAGCCTCTACCTCCTGGGCTCTATGGTTAACTAGTGGCTAGCTCTGCCCTCGGATCTCCAGGCAAGCTTTATTTGTCAGAACACAAACAAGACATCATACAACATAGATGTGTCCCAAACATGACCTTAAAAAACCATCTAGCCGGGCGGTGGTGGCGCACGCCTTTAATCCCAGCACTCGGGAGGCAGAGCCAGGCGGATCGTTGTGAGTTCAAGGCCAGCCTGGGCTACCAAGTGAGTCCCAGGAAAGGCACAAAGCTACACAGAGAAACCCTGTCTCGAAAAACCAAAAAAAAAAAAAAAAAAAACCATCTGTTTTTTATGTGACCTTTAAAAAGCCATCTTATAATCTGTCTATTCCCTATCCTCTGGGCTTAGAACATCTTTTCTCTGTGTAGCCATGTATCAAGAGGTAGTAGGTTCTTCTTGGGTAGGCCTTCACACCCTACCAAGTGATGGATCCTTTTCAGTCGTGGTTTTTATATAATAAAGCTCATCAAAAGCTGACCATCACAGGTAAGTCATAGCACCCTCAATGCAGACCCCTATGGGTCCATGATGAAAAGCACAGGCTCTGAACTCAAACTTAGATACTGACTAGGTTTGAAATGAATTCCCAGTCTCTTACTAGCTGTGTGAGCTTGAACTCTGATTTCCTTATATATAAAATTAGAATAATTATTCAAATTCCAGAGTGCTATAAGAAGTGAATGAATTAATTCATAAAAGAATGCTTAAGACAGTGCCTTACCTCAAGTACTTGATAAATATCAACTATTACTGTCAGCACTTAAAGCAAGGCCTGGTGCATTGTGGTGATCAATAATTCTTAGTTCGTTGTCTGACATAATAAGCAATAAACACAGGATTGAGTTTTACATGTTTCAGGGTATTTTAAATTTGGCATCTTTAAAATATACATAAAGCCTGCCACTTCACAATGCACAGCTCAATACATCAGTAATTGAATTCTGTAATTTAAAAAGCAGTGATAACATGGCTTGAGTTCAATCTTTATAGAAATCTATCCATGGCTATAACTGGAAGCCATAGTTTGTAGAGGTCTCTGTCTAAGGGCACTTGTCCTGAGAAAGCAGCCCGATTGTTGCCTCAAATAAGAGAAAATGAAGGCCGGGCGATGGTGGCGCACGCCTTTAATCCCAGCACTCGGGAGGCAGAGCCAGGCGGATCTCTGTGAGTTCGAGGCCAGCCTGGACTACCAAGTGAGTTCCAGGAAAGGCGCAAAGCTACACAGAGAAACCCTGTCTCGAAAGACCAAAAAAAAAAAAAAAAAAAAAAAAATGGTGGGGCTGGAGAGATGGCTCAGCGGTTAAGAGCACTGACTGTTCTTCCAGAGGTCCTGAGTTCAATTCCCAGCAACCATATGGTGGCTCACAACCATCTGTAAAGAGATCTGGTGCCCTCTTCTGGCCTGCAGGCGTACACGCAGGCAGAACATTGTATACATAATTAATAAATAAATCTTTAAAAAAAAAAAAAAAAAAAAGAGAAAATGAACGGAAAGGGATATGTACTCAGAAAGGGGACTTTCACTCACAGTAGAAAGTGGCAGACTTCTAGAAATAGAAGAAAACAGAATCTCTTAATCCAGCCTGGATTTTCCAAAGAATAGCTCAGAGAGGTAAACTGCCTTCAGGATATAGGATTCAAGGATTTGTCCATCACACAGTGCTGAATGCATGTTCTGGGTTCCTTCACACAATTGAGCACAGCAATAGGAACCTAGGCCAAGCCATATCAGATTAGTCTCAGTGTGTTTAAAGGGGTTTCTCTAGCATCAAATAGAAAATCAGTTATCCTTTAGCCTAAGAAAGGCTGCACCACATCACTTCAAAAGCCCAGGTCCTTCAGCTGTTGCAGCCCAGGTGAGCTGAGGAGGCAGGACTGACTGCTTCTTTCCACTACCCATTGTGAGGGGCTCTGAGAATCACATTTCACATTGCCTATCTTCTCTAAAGCTCTGTCTAGGTATAAAATTCTGCAATTAAGAAATGAGAGCTGGGGGTGTAGCTCAGTAGTAGAGCCCTTCCTTACTCTGCATAAGATCCTGGGTTTAATTCCTGTCACCACAAAAGTAAAAAAGATAAGAAATTTGGTTTGGGAGCCTTTAAAGGTTTTTGGTCATCACAGTTTGCTTTTAAGTGTAAAGGCCACATGGCATTCTACACTCTGAAAATTGGTAGACAGATAGTGAGAGAGGAACCTAAGTGGTTATGTAGCTATTTAGCTATTTAGTTGTGTGTCTTGCAGACTTCAAGAGATCAGGAACTTACAGTATAGTACAGTTCAGGGAGCTAAGAGGCCATCGGAGACAAGCAGTCTATCTGGACCCCAGTTGCCATTCCAAGGAATATAGGCCAAGTTTTCAAGCACTTTAGGGCCTGTGACCCTGGATATCAGAAAGGGATACTGAACCCAGACTACTATTTCTGCTTCTCATACCAAATTCCTCTATAGATTTGCCTAAGGTTAGTCTCCTCTCTGTGTTTTGATTTTCTGTCCCTAAAATGGGAGTATTGTCCTCCTTTGTATCAGAAGATTGAATTGCTAATGAGTTTGGGAAGTAGCTATCTGAATACTGAGGTCTTTGGAAGGAGGCAGCCTGCCATATTGCCACATCTCCACACACAGTACTTCAAGCCTGCGTAAATTTAGTTGTAGCTGAATGGTTTCATTCATAGAAAGGGTTCTGGGGCATTTTACAAGTGAGTTATGATTAGAAACCACCCAGACTATATTCTGTAACTCCTCTCTTTTCTCTGGTTTTCAGTGTGAAACGCAGCAACTGCTACATGGTCTGGGGTGGGGACATTGTAGCCAGTTCCCAAAGATCAAGTCGGAGCAATGTAGACCTAGAGATTGGCTGCCTTGTAGATCTGGCAATGGGCATGTTGTCCTTCTCAGCTAATGGGAAGGAACTTGGCACCTGCTATCAGGTAGGTGTGGCTTCTGAGACTGAGCTGTTGCTTTGGGCTTTGGGCTGGGATTTATGGTCATGTTCTTCATTCTCTTCCACGTGGACTTCATCATCCTCCACCAGTTGATGAGACCATATGGTATACTGGCCATTAGATTAACAAATAAACAAGAACAGAGGGATGGTATTTTATACAGAGAAAAATATATCTATTTACTGGGTGATTTTTATATACTGGCCATCTCTCAAGAGGAAATGGCAGCTTTTCCTTATTGAGCTCTGAAAGATTATTCATTTATTCCAAAAGTATTTCTCTGTTGCCTTTATACTGTCTGTGTTAGATAAGATGGGAGATTTAAAGGGTGAACAGAAATAGTTGTCACTTTAAGACATTTGCTTACTCAGAATAGAAACCTATAAAAATTGAAACAAGAAAACTATTTGTTGATATTACCTGGTAGTGCTTTATGAGCCTAGAGACCCATAGAGCCCACCGTAGGAAATGCTATGCTGAGGGATTGTATTTCCAAGCATTCTCAATACTCTTAAGCACAGGACAGTGAGTCACATATATGGGTAGAGAGAATTTGCTGAAGAAGTTATCTCTCCCATGAAGAACAATCAGCAGAGTCTCATTAGGGAAGAATCTTGGTTTTGAGGGAGTGAAGAGAGCAGTACTCTAGGGAGGCACAATGGATCAACAGATAGAATAACAATTTGCTCTATGATTGGTAATGGGGGTTCCATTTGGAGAGGGAGGGAGGTATACATAGGAAATAGGGAACTATGGAAGGTCTCAGCATAAAAGTAATGTTCAATAATTAAGGAAGCTAAACTTAGTCTCCTAGGGTCAGCAGTATAGATAACCACAGCAGATATGTAATACCCTGTTACTATATAATAGATAAAAACCCTGATTCTTTGGTCAGCCCCAGGTCACAGTCTGTGGAATGAAAGGCTTTAGGCAGCCAACTGTCTCACCTCTGCTTGGGGAGATGGGCCCAGGTGTATAGCAGACAGAATAGTCATTCCAGTTATGAAAGATTCGTTAACCAAAAATGATGGGTGGACTGAACTTCGTCTGCATGTCAGGAGCAGCTTGCCAACAGGGAGGCAGTTTACCTGTCTCTTCAGTAGTTCCTGCAGTGAATGGCACACTCAGAACCTCCTCCCATGAGGAGTACAGTCAACACTTGGCAAGCTTGACTGGCAGCTGGAGGGCCCAGCCATTTCCAGAAAGAAGCATTTGTGAAACCCGGCTCTGAGGAAGAAAGTAAAGTACTCTTCTAGTACTGACTACGATGCTTCCCTCAGCCCAAATCCCTCGAGAAGCTTTTATATACATTACTGCTGTCCTCCAGAATCCATTAGTGTTTTCCCATTACCTTCTGAAATGAGCTGGACTGAAGGGTCCCTCCTGAGCTGCAGAGAATTCTGGAACATCTAATAACTTTCACAACCAGTTGGACTTTGGAGATCTGCAAACATGAATGAATTAACAACAAAACAGGGTGGCATTTGCAATAGCAGTGACTCGCCTACCTCTGAAGGGTTCATGAGGTTAACAAGATGCTACAACCAAGAAAAGGATGCTGGGGCAGCTTCATCACATCCTGCACAGTGATTCCTAGGTAACATCAGGCAGGATGGACCATTATCGTCTTTGAGCAGGGTGTGAACATGCTCTCCTGGGGCATCTTCTTTATTCTATACATTCAAACTCTTCTCCTACTGCTCAGCATTCTAGTCCCACAGAGCTTTGCTGGGTGGGACAGTGGCAGGGTTCTGCTGAGAACCCTTAGGAGGCTCCTACTCAGCTATCCCCTTCTTATCTCAGTGAGACAGAAGTGTGTCCAGCCACGTGTCTGGTCCCTGGCAGCTGGATCATTGTTATTCCACAACTGTTGTCATTTTCATTTTTCAATTATCTCAAGAGGAACAGGACAGCAATATTTATACACTGGCCTTCAATTCAGAATGGACCAAAACAATGAAAGATTCTTTTAAACAGTGTTCCCAAGCCTCCCATTAAATGGTGCTAGGCAATCTGAAAAACCTTTCTCTCTCCCACTTAATAAAATCAGTAGAAAAATGAGGACTAAAATATACATTCAAGAGTCAGTCCTGAGTAACTGCCCCATACCAGGTACATAAAAGACAGAGCCAGTTGTGGGATTCAGATTTATGAGAGAGTCTAGTTGTAGATTCTGGCCAGTTTCTAGGGCCTGACCTTCACACATGATTAGAAATGGGGTGTCTATCAACACAAGGACAAATAGATCAACCAGTGATTTAAAAAACAAAAAAAGAGCCTTAGCTACAAAAATGAAGTCCATGACAGCTCGAGTCCAGGTTCTGAGCATTGCACAGGAGCAGGGGTGCCTTCTACAGCTGGTCAGTTGTCCCAGGGCAGGGCCCAGCTCTGTGCTCACTGTCCATGGAGCAGTATCTGGCACCTCATGAGCACTCACTGATATTTGGTGTTGTCGGACTAACTAACTTGGCTGGAAAATCACTTGTATCCACTTTTCTGCCTAACAAGTTGCCATAAAATTAGCAGCTTAAAACGACCTGCATCTGTGGGCTTACCGGGCACCTGAGCCCTCACAAGGCAAAAACCAAGGCTCCTGCTGGACTGAGCCAGACTCTTCTCTGGAGGGTCTGGAAAGAACCCCTTTCTGACTTTTTCTGAATTATTAATAGTACTCAATTTTTCATGTTGTAGGTTTATTGTTCTGAGGTTCTATATCCTTGCTGACTGGTAACTGGGGTCACTCATGCCTACAGTCCTTTCACATGGTCCCTCCATCTTCAAAACATCATCTTCTTATGATTCATATCTCTCTAACTTTCTTTTCTGCTTCCACAAAGGAAAACAAAATAAAACAAACAATAAAACCTCTGCTTTTAAAGGACCCTCGTATAATTACATAAAGCCTGCATCTTCCTCCAGTTTAAGTTTAACTGGTTAGCAGCTTCTCTTGCACATGCATAATCCAATTTTCCATTAGCATAATCACAGAAATAAATCCCTCCAGAGCCTTCTAGAATTATTTTTACCACATCAGTGGTACCATTTTCTTTCCTCTTGTATATGCTGAGGAGCCTACATTTGTATTTTCTTCTTATTTTAGTCTTAAACAAAATTCTGCGTTGTTCATCATGGTGAGAGAGTGCTCAGGACAAGAAAACATTTACTCTCAAGACTTTCAAAACATTCCCTAAGTCAGGCATGAGGGGAGCCCTGGACTTGAGTTGAGCACTTTATGAAATTTGCAATAAGCCATCCTTGAAGGGCCAGAAACCACCGCCTATAATGCAGCTTACTTCCAAAGCCAGTGTGTTTAGATGAGGCTCTTTTTCAAAAAGAGCGACAGCCTCCACATGTTTGGTACCTTTCTATTTTCTAGATATAAAATGAAGGCTATAAGGGTAATGTACTCTCAGGGGATAGCCAATATAGCTACTCATCCTTGAATTTGTAGGCAGGGAGAGTTGGACAATTTCCCATTTACTTAATGGTAGTGGAAGAATATCATCTAAGTTTGTATACATCAAAATAAACAAACAGTAAGTGAAGCCCCCAATGTCATATGCAGATGCCTCATGCAATCATGCAAGGTATGTTGGAAGCCAACCAGAGAATCTCAAACCCTTTAACATAAATATAGCAAGTGCAAGGAGTAAAAAAGGCTACAGAAGCATCCAGAGCATCCCAGGGAAAAAGCAAGGTCCATATTCCAACTAAGATCCTCAAGGTCTTTGCCCTTACAACATCAATTCTCAATTGTGATATGTGTCTGCCCCAAGCCCAGGACACTTGGCAATGTCAGAAAACCTTGTTAATCATTAGGGTTATGATGTACTCACAGGTACATAATAGGTACAAGACAAACATGTCACTCACAACAGTATTGAGGTTAGTTCTCCCACCAAGTTACCAGTGCCAAAATCTCGATAAGACTAAGGTTAAGAATCTTGACTGCAGGGTATCCTGGATCTTGTGAACCTGCCATTTGCCTTCAGCAATGATTCCTGAGTCACCACTCAGACATACTACTGTTCAGTGACCATCAGTGCTGTCTCACTAGTGAGTAATAGAAGCTTCTGGCCTTATGACTCTGCTCCTGAACTCCAAGGAAAGCTGCTGGCTGCAAGTATCTAAGGAAGAAAGGGAAAGAAAGGATGTAAGGTATTTTATCCCAAAGCAGAAAGGATTTAAGGCCTCAAGCAGTGACAGTCTGAAGTAAAACAGGCCAGGTCTCCAGGAGTGTCGGAGCAGTAGGGAATGACCAGTCCATTGTCTTCTCTTGGCTGAACTTAAAGGGGATGACTGACTACTCTGGCCAGTGGCTTAGCAAACTGTGATTCCCATAGCCCTGGGCAAGCCTCTTGATTTGTTTTTGTTTCCAGGTGGAGCCTAACACCAAAGTATTCCCAGCAGTCTTCCTCCAGCCTACAAGCACTTCTTTGTTTCAGTTTGAACTTGGAAAACTGAAGGTATTTATCTGTCCCTTTGATTAATACCCATGCCAAGGGAAGACCAAAATGACCATCGTGGGGAAATCCCAAGCATCAGAAGGCAGGGAAGATCTCTTGCTTCTCTTTCACCTCCCTGCCTCTCTCAGGCCTCTATAATTTGCTGAGAAGTCCCAATGACAGACTATATCTTCTCATTTTCCTTTTCTCTCACCCATTTTGGGCTGCTGAAAGGATTGATTACTTCTCACATAACCCATTGTGTACCATCCTAATTAATGACGAAAGCCTTTGGAGATCCTCAGGATAGATAGTCCTTCTTTAACTTATACTAGTTATATTGATGACCATGAGCCAGGTGCATGATCCAGCAACTAAAACTCTCCCTATGACATGTCTCTTCTCTTCTTGATGTCTTTCTACCTTCCCCAGAATACAATGCCCTTGTCAGCAGCCATATTTAAGAGTGAAGAGAAGAACCCCATCCCACAGTGTCCACCTAGGCTGGATGTCCAAACAATCCAGCCTGTGCTGTGGAGTCGCATGCCCAGCAGCTTTCTCAAAGTGGAGACAGAGCGGGTGAGCGAGCGCCATGGCTGGGTGGTGCAGTGCCTAGAACCTCTGCAAATGATGGCACTCCACATCCCGGAGGAGAGCAGGTACTGGAGGGAACCACCAAGGAAGGGACGGTCCTGGGAAGCCAGGAAGCTCCAAAGGAAACTAGGAGTGTCTTCAGTAGACCCTAAGCTATCCCAAGATAGCTGTTCATTCCCCACAATACATCAGTTCTATCCTTTTCCTTCCCCAATACCATCATTCAGTCAAAAACAGCAGAGAATATACCATAATGCCCCAGCCATGATACCTTCTGAAGACCAGGAAATGTTTACATGCTTTTAATTCAAATACAAGTGATACTGAAATATACATATATTTATTTTTACAAAAATAAAGGGCAGAGCCAGGCAGTGATGGTGCACGCCTTTAATCCCAGCACTCGGGAGGCAGAGGCAGGCGGATCTTGGTGAGTTCGAGGCCAGCCTGGTTGGTCTACAGAGCGAGATCCAGGAAAGCCACAAAGCTACACGGAGAAACCCTGTCTCGAAAAATAAAAAAAAATAAATAAGCAAATAAAGGGCGGAATGGCCCATGTCTAGCTTGACTTGGAGAAGTAGGAGTTGGGGTCCTTGCTTCCCTTTGTTAAGAGGATTGTGACTGGGTTCGATCCCAGCACTTTCATTTTCCGCATATGTGGTTTGGCAAGTTGCTCACATACTCCAAGCAGCAGCCATTTCAGCCATACTTCAAAAGAGAATCCCACCCACACTGTCGAGAGGGTAAGAATGAGGTTGTATGGGTGTAATCCAGCATGGTTTCTGGCCATCTTGAGAACCGAGTAAGTTTTATTGCTGTGGATGTTATTAGCCCTATGTTCCTTGACTGAAAAAGTATGTGCATGGGGCTGGAGAAATGGATCACTGGTAAGGGCACTTGTTCTTGCAGAGGACCCAGGTTCAATTTCCAGCACCCACGTGGTGGCTCGCAACCATACATAATTCCAATTCCAAGGAGCCCAATGTCCTTTTCTGACCTCTGTGGACACCACAAATACACATGGCACACATCAATATATGTAGGTAAAACACTTGTCTATATAAAAATAAATGTTAAAAATATAAAAGCAAAAGCATGTGCAGAAAGTGAAGGTGTTTGATACCCATGGGACTCCCCTTTGGGGATCCCCTTGAATCATGTACCACTTACAGGACAGGAGAGTATGGGAAAGTGAAAGAAAAGTATTGCATCAATCCTGGAACTCCATCTCTGGGCCTCCGTGAGCAAGAGAACACCACACAGGCTAGCAGGCTGCAGATGTCAGGAAAGAAGCACTCACTGGATTAGGCCAAGGAGTACCAGTTGGAAAAGTGTTTCCTCTTGGAACAAAAATGCAGATGGAAGGGTAGAAAGTCTTATAGGTGCCACAGAGCTGGACCACGCAGATAGTGTAGATTGGCAGTAGAAGCAACAGTGGGTGTGGTGGTGGGCGTGGCAGTGGGCATGGCTGTGGGTGTGAGCTTTGTCTTCTGAGAGGCTCGTGTCAGGGAGCAGATCAATTTCAGATAAGAACGTCAGGTCGTTGTCACATTCCCAAGTGTCTTTCTCCTTGGGACCTTAGGGTTTCCACCTCCTTTTTGATTTTTTGATATTTAATAAGCCAATGTCTTGTATTTCCCAGGATTTTTTAGAATATTGTATTGAGACAGGGTGGATTGTTAGTAACTGGGGTGTGGATCATAGCTCAGAGAGAAGGAATACCCTGTTAGGGAAAGCATGGCAGAGATTTCTGTCCCTTCTGCCTTCGCTGAACTGGTTGAGATCCTTGGGGTTTTACAGCACAACTACACTGAATTCTGACCCTTGCTTCTCACTGTGGAATGGTCGATTGCTTTGTCTCCCTCAGGTGTGTGGACATCCTTGAGCTCTGTGAGCAGGAGGACCTGATGCAGTTCCATTACCACACCCTGAGACTTTACAGTGCTGTGTGCGCCCTGGGAAATAGCCGAGTTGCCTATGCCCTGTGCAGCCATGTGGACCTCTCACAGCTCTTCTATGCCATTGACAACAAGTATTTGCCCGGCCTCCTTCGATCTGGTTTCTATGACCTGCTCATTAGCATCCACCTGGCCAATGCTAAGGAGAGGAAGCTGATGATGAAGAATGAGTACATCATCCCCATCACCAGCGCCACCAGGAATATCCGCCTATACCCGGATGAGTCCAAGAGGCATGGACTACCTGGGGTGGGCCTGAGGACATGCCTTAAGCCAGGCTTCCGGTTCTCTACTCCTTGCTTCGTGGTGACTAATGAGGAGCATCAGAAGCAGAGCCCTGAGATTCCCTTGGAGATTCTCAAGACAAAGGCTCTAAGCATGCTGACAGAGGCTGTACATTGCAGTGGGGCCCATATCCGAGACCCTGTGGGGGGTTCTGTGGAGTTCCAGTTTGTGCCTGTGCTGAAACTCATCGGAACCCTCCTAGTCATGGGCGTTTTTGATGATGATGATGTTCGTCAGATTCTCCTCTTGATTGATCCCTCTGTGTTCGGGGAGCACAGTGGGGAGACGGAAGAGGGAGCAGAAAAAGAAATGACCCAGGTAGAGGAAAAGGCAGTGGAGGCTGGAGAAAAGGCCAGCAAGGAGGCTCCAGTCAAAGGCTTGCTGCAGACCCGATTACCTGAGTCTGTCAAGCTGCAGGTAACTGGGAACAACACACATGCTCTGGTAGAGTGCCCTTGAGGGAGAGAAGAAAGCCTGGGTATGGGGGACTGTGGGCACATGCCTGAGTCTGTTGCTGGAGTAGAGGTATGCAGAGAGTCCCTGGGGTGATGCCTATTTCCATGGGATATACACTCTTAGCTTTCCCAAGTCAACATGAAAATGCCAACCTTTATCAGTAAGATACATTGAAATGTTTAGACATCGTATAGAAGTCTCTTCTGTTGTTGGTTGCTTTTACTCTTTTTGGGAGGCCCACAACCCAGCTCCCAAGTAAATCGCAAATAGAGGCTTTTTATGGCTTATGAATTTACAGCCTTAGTTTGGCTTAGTTTCTAGCCAGCTTTTCTTAACTTAAATTATCCCATCTACCTTTTGCCTCTGGGCTTTTCCTGTTCTCTTACTTCTGTAAATCTTACTCCTACTCTGTGGCTTACTGTGTAGTTGGGTGGCTGGCCCCTGGAGTCCTCCTCCTTCTCTGGCTACTTCTTCCTTTTCCCCTCCATCTCTTTTCCTCTCCTTCTTCTCCCAGATTTCTCCTACATATTCTCTCTACCTGCCAGCTCTGCCTATCCCTCTCTCCTGCCTTGCTATTGGCTGTTCAGTTCTTTATTAGACCAGTCAGGTGTTTTAGACAGGCAAAGTAACACAGGTTCACAGGGTTAAACAAATGCAACATAAACAAAGTTAACTCACCTTAAAATAATATTCTATAACACTCTTCGCCAGTGTTGGGTTCTCCCATGTCTCTGAGCCTTTGAGATGTAAATGATTATCTTATCCCTGTTTAGCAAAAGGGATAAGATTCTGGTTGTAACCAAAGTAACCCCCAAGGAACTGACTCACAGGACTGTCACACTCATCACCCACTCTCACTGAGCTACGTTCTTGCACTAATATGATGGAGCCCTGCTGACCCAGTATTCACATATCTGTTACCCAAACTAAGGAGCATGCTCTGGTACCACCTAAGAGCCTTCAGCTCCATCTGAAGCAATGCTTCCTCATGTAAGCTAGCATGATCCATATGCTAAGGATGATAACCTTTGTCTTCTGAGCACTGAGACAAAGAGGAAAGATGAACAATGAGCCTGGGTCAGCCATTCCTAGGATTTTACTCCCCCTCTGCTGCTTACTGGATTTTTAAACTCACCAAGTCAGTAGCCAGTCAAGACCTTAGAGTTATTATCTGTAAAACAGAAGTGATACAAAAAGATAATGCCAAATATATTTTCATGAAATATGTGAAGTATGTTCTATCATAGAATGTGCTGTAGTGAAGTAATCTATGATAAAAGTTCTCTCTTCTAATATAATGGGATTTGTACATAGTTAATCAGGATATTGAGCATAGAGGAGAAATGTAGCTTATGTATAATCACATGGACACACACACACACACACACACACACACACACACACACACACCCCTACACCTTAGTATTTTATTCAATCTTTTAAGGGTGCTGCTGTGATACAGAGCCAAGATCTTTTCTTTGGTGTAACTCCCCTGACCAGTACTTGAAGTTCTTCCTTTTTACATTTGACCTCCGACATATAGCATCTATGATTGCCATTTCGGGGATTTTTAGGGTAAACATGAGAGATCCAGTTGTGCACTGCATAATGACACTTCAGTTGACAATGGACCACATAGATGAGAGTGATCCCATGAGGTGACACCATCTAAGAGAGACTAACCATCAGTTGATAAAAATTTCTTCTCAGGGGGAGATGTAAGCCACATCTCTATCCCTTCTCCTAAGGTCCCGATAGCAAACTAAGGCATGATTCCTCTGAAGTTCACACTGCAGAACTGGTGTGTTTATTGGGCTTCCTTACAGAACGTAGGTGAGGGGTTACTTAGAGGGGTCTGGGTGCTCCTCCCCCCACAGGCCACACCTGGAAAGTCTTTACCCAGGAGGAATGAGGTCCTCCCTGTAGCTGTGCAGATGGAGCTCCTTCATCTTTTCTGGCCTATGCACTCTGGTCCCTCCCTGAGGCCATGTGCGATTAAGGCCATGTAGATGACATCATAGGAAATGACCCTTTCTGTCCCTCTATGAAGGAACATAAGTAGTCAGCAAGCCCAGCTTGAAAAATTCTTTTGTAAGGGGACACAACTGAGCTCCCCAAGATGGGGATGCCTTGGTTCAGAAGATAGTCACTCACAACACTTAGTATGTGATGTTTTCACCATGATGAGATCCCCTAACTGTGGATGCATCAGAGCACATCCTTGTCACTGAATCAGGACATCACTAGAAAACAAAAACACTTTCAGACTTTAATGATTTTCCCCAGCTTTTTACAGTTTCCTCACACCTAGCATTTCTTTTTAAAACAACTTAAATTTACAGAATGATAAGATATTATAATAACAAAAGAACTAACCACAGTTGAGCTGTGCAGTGAGCAGCCACCACCAGGGAAGATGAGCTGGGGAACAAGCTTTTCAACTTTCCCATCTTCTGCTGCTGGAAGGTTGGAGAAAGGAAGGCAATGCTCACATGAGCATTTTAATGCTGGTTTTCATACATGATTCCTGAGGGAAGTACTTTCTAGAAGATGCTGTTTGCAGGAAGTTCATTTCTCTCTCATTCCCTGGCCTCAGCAGCTGAATAATTCACCTCTAGATTGAGGCAGACTTGGATTCAGTAGCTTCATGGTTACTCTATAACACTAGATGGATCACTGCACTTAACCTGAGTCTCAATGTTATCTATAAAGCAGGGTACTGGCAACTTCATCTGTGTGCATTAAGTGCATTCTATACGGATGTACACACACACATACTTTTTGTTACAGATGTGTGAACTCCTCAGCTACCTCTGTGATTGTGAACTGCAGCATCGAGTAGAAGCTATTGTGGCCTTTGGTGACATTTACGTGTCCAAGCTTCAGGCAAATCAGAAGTTCCGCTACAATGAGCTCATGCAGGCTCTGAACATGTCTGCAGCCCTAACCGCCCGAAAGACAAGAGAGTTCCGTTCACCACCGCAGGAGCAGGTGAGTCCCATCCTGAGCTACATTCCAATTCCTATGGAAAAGGATACATGAAACCTCTGTGTTATCTTCAACAGACTGAAGATCTATGGAAGCCAAGAAGAATCACCACAACACCAAGAGATAGGCTTGAGTCCTAAGTAAATAATGACTGGGGAGTACTTGCCAATTATCTTGGCTGGGGGAAAAAACCTTTCTAAACTGAACATAACACAGAGCTTTCTTCTTCCACCCTCCCCTCCCCTATGTATACCTCTACTAATTAGTGGAAAACCAGAGGAGTGTTGAGGCTCAACAGAAATCTCAGCCACCATTCACTACTCAGGAGGATGTTGCTAGGCCTCCTGGAAATCCCTACCTTTCTATCAGAGACTAGAAGAAAGTAGTTGGTGTGCCCTGGTTTGTGGGAGTTGAGGTGCAGCCTTTCTCATCCATCTGATATGTCCAAACCCCTTTAACTTATATTTGCATTAAGCTTTCCTAGCCCCATGGAGCCTGGAGAACAGAATTCATTGTGAATCATATTTTGTGATGTGTTCTGTAGACCCCACTTGTGGTTGTCACTGCTGAGAGAGAAGGTGACTTTGAGATGAATCTAAATGAGGGAATGGCATCTCGTGGTATAATAGTGCTATCCAGGCTGGTTGGCCACTGTTCCCTTAGTGTTCAGAAGTAAGGTAGATCCTTCAGTGAGGAAACCAGTTCTGCTTTTAAACTACATCTTTGAATCTTATAAATTTTAATAAGCAGTCTATTCATTGTTATCAATATAATTACCACTATTTTATATTAATGGCACAACTACAACTTCATTCAATTACTTTCCCAATCTATTTTATGGAACATAGTTATTTATATTGTCTTGCCAATGAACCACATATCTTAGCTTTTGAAAGACTCATGAATGATAATGCCTAAAGAGAAGACAAAGCTAGTTATCTCCCTAGTTGCAGAATGAAAGTCCTTGGGACTGGCTGAAATAGATATGGTACTGTACCAAATGTATGAGTATGCCGTTTCTCCAACTGCCACCCAAGAATTACTCAAGGATATTACAAATACTATAGGCTGCTTTGAGACTGGTGGTGGGGATGAGTGTCCCCCATGACACTGAGCAAATGATGTTCTTCCAAACTTTTATGGATAATTGGAAGACAGTAATATAGAGATTATAGCACCAGTATTGACTTCATAGAATGGCACTCCAGATCTTTTCCCCTGTCATGCGCATGTGGTATTGGGTTCTTGACCCCTTTGTCTCAGTTTTTCTGCCAAGTATGGGTAATGTTTATATCTCTAGCCAAGGTTCCTTCTTAGGATGCCATGAGGTAATTTATTTCAGACTGCTTAGCAAGGTATCTGCCATTGGGTAAGAATTCTGTAACTGTTCCCTAAACTGCCAGTAGTTTTAGTATTAGAGAAATCTGCAGCCTCACACCTTCTTCTATGGCCTTCTGCCAGTGGCCTGGTGAGTGGAGGTCTCACATTTTCTGACCTCTCTAACCCAACCATCACCATCCACAGTGTCTATGGTCTAAGCATCTCCTTTTCTCCATTCTAACTTCAAAGTTTTTCTTCTACCCTCCCTAGAACTTCCATTGCCGCCTCCTCCGGGCATTTAAGTAGAGAAACCATTCAGAAATCTGTAAGTTGACTTCTCCCTTAAGGCATAGACCAATGTATCACTGCCTGACAGGCCACTGGCTCTAATCCATCTTAAACAAGGTCAGCAGAAGAACCTAGTAAGTCAGATCACTTAGCTCTTTCTCTGAAATCTCTGACTCAGTTGGCCTGGGGTAAAGCTCAGAGTTTTTCATTTTTAGCAAGTTTTCAGACATTTTTGATGCTGATGGCTTTTTTTAAAAAAAAGCACTAAAAGCTAAAGAATTCATCTGCTCCATCTCCACCCCTTCCAGAGGAGACCTTACCCACAGAGTTCTCAATGAAAGGAAATGTTTAACATCATTGAAAGACAATTCAGATCAATTGCAGAGGTTAGAGATGCAGAATCACTTGGGAAATCGAATGCATGGAAATTGAAGTCTTAAAGGGTGATGATTTTTCACAACCTGTGAGGAAAAAAATAGAAGTTATAATCCTCAGAGTATTCAAAGTAATGGAAGAAACCATGGGGAATATGAACAATATAAAAGTAAGGTAAATCGAAGACTTGTTTCATGGTTTGGACAAAGTGGCTGCTTATGGTCACCTCCCAAAGGCCTTTGGGAGAGGGGAGGACATGACTCGTAGAAACCCTATTTGGTCTGCCCTTCCACCCACCTTTTGGTTGTGTGCTCTTTTAGAAGGTGAGGCCCTTCCTAAGTTTTGTTGACAGGAGGAGTCTTTCAATAAAGAACTTCATTTTGTACTCTGAAACCATATCTCACAACCTTATATTAGTTTAGTAAACAGTGTATCCTACCTTGTTGATGTAATTAGTGTGATTTCCCTTTTCCAAACTATTTCGTGGATAGTATTTAATTACAAATAATACCTCTACCTACTTACAAAAAGATTTGAAAGAGAAGTTCTGAGTGAGAGACTTCTGAATCATGTTAAAATTTAGTAAGATATTAGAAATTCTTCTAACCATGAAGTCCTCAACAGTTAAAGGGAAGCTCTATGCCTGGTGGTTGGGATAGAATGGCTGAATCACAAAGAGGAAAAAATGACCTCTAGCTGCTTTTGCAATTTCTCCACCTGATCACTGACCTGTATGTAGCTGTGGGCCTGCAGGAAGTATCCCAAAATCCAGGAGCCTAGCCAGAAAACAGAGCCTTCACTGACCTCTGCTAACACCACTTTTCATGATTAACGTATACAGCAGAACTACTGCCCCACTTTATCACTAGTGGAGATCGAACATTTTCCGTGACACTTTGCAGTGGTTACATTTAGAAATACCTTTACATTCAACACTGCTTCAGGATTGCAGGGTCTCCAAGAGTAGCCACTAGGTCGCTTCATGACTGCTAATGATGAAGTACATTTATTACTGTAACACAGAATTTTTTGGCTTTAATAAATGGGCTTCACCACTATCATTTCTCTTTGTAAGTTTTTATGTGTTGTTTGTTTAAGATATTAATCTGTAAATTAGTTGTCTCACTAAACTGCAAGAAAACTACATAGTAAATAGAAAACCATCAAGAACAGAATAATAAAAACAAAAAGAAAAGCAGAGGTAGTGCAGAACATAAATCTACACCTCAAAACTAAAACCTAAATGAAGCCCCCTATACATAACATGAAAAGCTAACTAAAAGAAGTCTGTTGAGTATATATTATAAACAACTAAAACTCCAGAAATCTGTTGAGTATATATTACAAACAACTAAAACTCCAGAAATCTGTAGAGTATGTATTGGAAAATGTTTAAGTTGAAAAATGTGCAAAGCACTCCACCAGCTAATTTTCAAATGGGTAATTACCTGGTAGAAAAATGGAGAGAGAGCATGAGAAGAAAAACTTTACAAAATATGAAATAAAATTAGTCTTAATACTTGGAAAATAAATTTCAACCTCACCAATTAAATGCAAATCAAAGCAACAGGGATATGATATGCTTCACCCATTCAACTTGAAAATGTGTTAAGCTCTCATTACTGTAATAGAGATGCCAAAGTAACACACACTTACATAAATTTGGAATAATGCAAATTGTTGTGAGATTTCTGGGAAGCAATTTACAATTCATATCAGAAGCCATTAAAATGTACAGACCTGTTGCTCCATTTATTTTGCTTCCAGTAGTTTATCCTAAGAAAATGATCTGAAATGTGAACAAAAACACATAAAATATTCAAAGCAACTTTGTTTATAAGAAAAACAAAGACGAGTCAGGAGATGGTCTGGTGTGTAAAAGCACTCGCCACACAAGCATAAAGTGTGACTTTGAACCCCTGAAACTCTCATGAAAGCTGATGCACAGTGTGAGCATCTGTAATCCCAATGCTCATAGGGAGAGAAGGAAAATGGAGACAGGAGAATTCCTGGAAGTTCACAGGCCAGCTAGCCTGATGTATGAGTGAAAAATAAAACAACCAAGACCCTGTCTCAGATAAGATGGAAGGCAAGGACCAACCCCTGAGGTTGTCTTCTGACCTCCACATGCATGCCATGGCTCATATGTGCCCACATTCATACACACACACACACACACACACACACACACACACACACACATACACATACACACACACGCCACACCAGGTACTCACAAAAAATAATAAAAGTAGAAACAAGCATATCATAGCAGAAATTTGATTTTACATAAATTTGTATCTGTCCATAGAGTGAAATAAATAATTTTACCATTTTAAACTCATGTTAAGAAAATGTCCCAGACAAAGTCAGTCAGAAATTGGATTTTAAGAAAGTTTATATAGAGAGTGTGGTTTGAATTTGTGAAGCTATGCATAAAGTCTGAAATAAATTTCCTAATATTATTAACAGGACTTATCTTTGGGTGATAGGAATTTTCTACTCTAAATATTCTCCAAATTCTGTACAATTAATAAGCAGCCTTTAGTATAAGAAAAAAAGAGAAAGCTTTTTGTAGGTTGGCCACTTTTACTTCCCCCACCCTCCAAAAACCTTTAAATAAAAAATTCAAAGACTGTTTTGTGTCTAAGGCATGATCTGAGCTCCCATGGCTGACATGGAGACTGACTAGAGATTGCTCTTTTGCCCTCACAGATCAACATGCTCCTCAACTTTCACCTGGGAGAGAACTGCCCCTGCCCAGAGGAGATCCGAGAGGAGCTATATGACTTCCATGAGGACCTTCTGGTTCACTGTGGTGAGCTTCTGAGAGATGAGCTAGAGCTCCATCTTCCTTTATTAGAATGCCAGTGAGGGGTTGAGAAGTTACTCATATGTCTGACCTTCTGGTACCAATTGTTCAAATTACATGTGTTAGAGAAGATACAGGAAGTGTCCCTGGCAGAATGAGAGACTGAAAATGCTTTTATCTAAATAGAATCTTTGTGAGGATACAGAGAGGGAGTGGGAAGGTCTTTGTAGGAAAGAAAAAAAAGGTGAGGGGTGGGGATGACTGACTCTATACCTCACCTAGTTCACTTGCAATGGTACTGATGTCATATTCTCCCAGCCAAGCCAAGACTGTGGTCCCTTTTCTTTTTATCTATTGTAATTTAAAAAAAAGTGGGTATCAATGTCTTCTCTGAAGGATTCTAAGTCATGGGTTCCTACTTTGATGTTTATCTACTGATTTTTAAGTGGGTGGTGGCATTTATGATTCTTATGCCTGGGTAAATTGAGTAATATGTAGAAAAAAAGCTGAGCTTCTCATTTGAAATAATAAATGCTAAAGTATTTCTAGAGACTCTAGGGCCCTTTTTAACATAGGTTAGAAAAAGTAAATCTTTGGGATTAAATTTATTTGCTGTTCTGGGACACAGAAAACCATATATTTTAGCAACTACTTGAAAGGCATAATGCAGATAAATATTCTTGGGAGGCTGCCTATAATCTCTTGAAAATGTTTCAGAGGATGGGAAATTGCCTTCTTATGCTCTTCCTAACTCTTAATGTACTGTTTGGGTTTGCACTCTGTTTCTGTGGCTTGCTAGGAGTTCCCTTGGAGGAAGAAGAGGAGGAGGAGGAGGACACTTCCTGGACAGGAAAACTTCGTGCTTTGGTGTATAAAATCAAGGGCCTACCCAAGCCAGAGAAGGAACAGCCAAGAGAGGAAGAGGAACGGTATCCTAGTAAGTGACACTCTCTTTCTGTCACATTGCTCACACCGCTGTGCTCTTCTGAGACGTAATCATGGTAACTGGTTCTCTCACATACACTCTAAGACACTCGAAGGCTGTTGAATGCCAAAGTAAACATTGAGCTTTGTGTTGTCACTGTTGTTAGTCAGTGTTATGGACTTTTTTTTTTCTCTGCCTTTCCTGTGATCCAAGGAATTACCTTTTGGACTTCTCTGACACCTGAGAGATCAGCTGTCTGGTATCTGCTCTTATTGTCTGTCTACTTAGAAACTCTCACACAAATTCTGATCTTTCTTTCAACGTCTAAGTGTTGTTGATTTCCCTCACTTCTGTTTGCAGTTACCTAAGCAAGGAAAACTACTCCAACCAAAGAAGTTAAATAATAGTGAAGCAGGACGTGTAAAAGAAATTAAAGGTCTCTTCTTATTCTCTAGTATGGTGTTAAGATTGTGACAGCCTGAATCTGTTTTTTTAAGGATGGCAACTATTGTCCCAAGTCATTCCTCTCTTCTTTGCACAGTAGGTAATCTCAACCATTTGGTCCATGTTGAAAGAAGAGCACTGACTTGCCTGACTGTCTCTAAATGAGTTAACATTTCAAGAGACAGATTGTCTGAACATTATATGTAATCAATCTGCTCCTTGCTACAAATTCGACAAATTTATTATTTGTCTAAAGAAGTGTCCCAGGTTCAATGTCATCAGTTTTTATCTTAGTCCCTGTTCCTATCTGTCTTGGAACACACTTGCAGATCACCTACTAAAGAAATAGACTCTCAAGATATGATAGGTGCATCTGGGATAGCACTTTGGAGGTTCACACTTCTTATCACCCTTTATATTAACCTTTCATCTTTGTCAGAATATCTCTGAGGGGAATAGATTATTCCCATATATCAGTGGGAGCTTTGAAGCCTCTGAGAAAATATATGGTAACATGACTCTGGCAATCCTGGTCAGTCCTGTCCTATCACCATAGAAAGGTTTTGACTTTGAGGGTGAGCCAACTGGGTTGTAGAGCCAAAAAATAGAAATAAAAATAAGTGAGTAGAGACTCTCTTTGTGGTTACCACCAAATAAGTACTGCAAATAGCTTGCACTGGCCCACATCTCTCCTATAGCACCTGCTGAGAATTGATTCTGGAAGTGGATGCTTTTTTGACAGTATGTTATGAAGAGCATTCCCACAAAGTGACCATGTCGTATTAAATGAATCAAGTCAGTCAGATGAAATCGTTCATCATCTGCCTCTGTGAAGTCTCACACTGAGGATGGGTTCAAACACCACAGATTACTTCCTGCACAACTGCTCCTCAACCCTAAAGGAGACAGATCATGTTCTATCTGCTTGGATAGAACATACACACCTGCCAAGCCTGTCAGATGGGACTACAAGGGTTCACCATGCTGCCTTCCTCTCACATGTGCTTATGACACATCCAAGTTTTGTGTTCTGAGCCTTCTGAGGTCCCAAAAATAAAGGAAATGGTCAATCAGTTCAAGTAACACTGGTTGCTATTATGTGGATTCCCTGTAGAATGTTCCAGAAGCATAGCTGGAATGATACTTTAAGATAAAGTCTAGGAAGTTGTTTAATACCCCTCTAGAGAATTGTTTTTCATTGGATCATATGGAGGCAGTGTTTCTAAATGTACAGCCAATTGTAAAAATGGTTATAATCCTATAAATTACTGACAGATTGTCCATGTCACTACTTACATGATTTATTTTGACAAAATAATACAAATTTGGGGGAATATAGTAAATTGACAATTTACCAAATGCATTCATATATGCTAGTTACTAATGTTCCTAACAGATATTAGCTTTCTTCATTTTTTCAATATTCAGTTGAGAGAAATAAGACTCAAAAGAATCAAGAGATACTAGTTCAATGATTCTTCCTTCCATCTTGTATCCAGAAAATTTTCCTGGTGACTTATTAACACAAATCTGATATAACTAAATCAAGTGAAGCTGTGACTTTACTCCAGGTGTCTACTCTTCCCATAGTACCACACCACACTGCTTCTACACCTGAGATTAAAAACTGTTGGGAGTGGTCTATGATAAAAGTCAGGGGGGCTGGAGAGATGGCTCAGTGAATAAGAGCACTGACTGCTCTTCCAGAAGACCCAGGTTCAATTCCCAGCGCCCACATGGTACTTCACAACTGTCTGTAACTCCAGGGTCCAACACCTTCACACATACGTACAGGCCAAACACTAATAAAATAAAAAGAAATAAATTATAATGAAAGTCAAAACCCAGTACCATTCAGAATTTTAACACTGGAGAGTTAGTGATGCCAAAGATTTGAACTGGAAATCTTCAGGTAAGGTGGTGGTGACCCCTCCCTGAGATTCACTTCTATAAACTGTTGGTGTGGATCAGATGGGCTCAGAAAAGAGAGAACAAAATGTTCTGAAACTCTTTTGAATGCTGCTAAGTAGCTCTGTGTTAAAGAGATTTGCTTAAATTAACTGCAAGCCACACCATCAATGAAAACTATTACAGTATTATCAAAGAGCTATATGATAATGAAATGATAGATATAGCAGCAGCCCATCATACTAGGTCACATTTTTATGTCTCTGTCTAACACATCCATAAGAGAGCCCTTGCATGCTAAGACTGGACTGCAAACTGCAGTTAAAACAGGATTTCCTTAAATATACATGTGTAGCTGTAGCAACTGAGTTATTTCTCCAGAAGAGACCAAACAGCTGTTTCTCTTGAATTCTAAAGTTAAGAAAATGAAAATCAGCTATCATATTTTACAGATGAAATGTGATACACTTATGCCTTTTCCATGGGAGATGGTTTTCCTCGTCTTTTCTGTACACAGAAATGTCCCAGAGGATATTATGTTCTCAAGTAATGCAAGCAAAGGAGACAGAGCCCCCTGCTGACATTAGGGACCTTTTGCTGACCCACTGTAATTCAGCTGTGGAGAGCAGTGTGAAGAACTGGATGTAGGAGTGGGTCTGTCTATCAGAGGTGAACCGAATTCTCTTCTCAGCCTGTGCTGTTTGCACAAACTCTGCCTTTCACAGAGCTAAGCTGACATTCTTATCCCTAAGACATACTTGTTTTCCTCTGCTACTCTCTGATAAAGATCAGACCAGGAGTGTCCCTAGAGATGACTACAAATCCATCAAGTCCCAAAGCTGCCACTTGGGGAAGCTTATACATTGTCACTGAATATATAACAGCTCCAGGCCGAAATTCTCTCCAGTTGAAGGCTTGTTTGTGAATACTACTGGGCAGAGAAAGTGCTCTTTACAGCCAGGATAAGTCCTGGCCTCTGGTACAAATGAATGCCTCGTAAGATCACTATACCACTGGTGGAGAATATAATGATGGCTCAGGTGGCACCATTAGATTTATTTTCTAAAATTTCTAAATTCTCTCCATAAGGACACACAAACGCACACAGAGCAGGTAGAGAGTTAGCCCTCCTCTGTGAAGTCTGTCTTCTAACTTTGTTACCCTCGCTCCTGACCCAACATATCATGTAAACTCCGACAGGACATACCTCCCTCCTTAGATGGGATTTTTATTCACCTTTCCTTATTGTGTCTTAATGTGAGAAATTTTTTTCTATATTCATTCTATTGACCTAACTATCTTTTTTACCTCTAACAACATACTGGTCAGTTTAAGGCTCACAAACATGGAAAAGTGAGGTCGTGGATGTAAAGGTGGAATTGTGTCTGAATAGATAACTCTTACAGTAATGAGAGTTGTTTGTGATGTTGAAATACAGATACACTCCATGGCTAGAGGAGGGTTTGGAAGTGTTATAAAAGTGTGAACAGGTAGATAAAATAGGAAAGAAAAGCATTTAGTTGAAAACGCTGGTCAAAAATGCCAAAAGACAGGAAAGTTTAGGCCTGAATTCAGGCATGGCAACAGGTTAGGGTGAACTGGATTCTACAGGGAGCTGAATGGGTTGTGGTGGGGATGTAAAGTGATTCAACACTGTTTTGAAGAATTGCTAATAAAACTAAATTCATCAGTACAATGTTCTCATTTGCTCTATAAGACTTGGCCCTGGGATTTCAGGGATGGAAGGTTAAGCATGTGTGTGGCACCCACTTTAGCTTGTGTCTATCACTTCTCACAATAACAATACACAGCATTCACTCTCATCCCTATGTTATAGTTAAAGAAACTGAAGTAAAGAAAAATTATCCAAACCATACAGTGGTGGATTGATCTTCACATTGCTATTCCTGTATGTATTCATTACTTAGAAACATTGTGTCCCCTGTAAACAGTGACTGTGTAAGTTTCTTAAAAACTAAATCCTTAGTTTGTTCAGCAGTAGTGAAGTGGTTATGATGTACAGGGCTCTAAAATTAGGCAACCTGGTCTTAAATTCTTGTTCTGCCTCACTTCTGTAAGGTTAAACACATGACAGCTTTGTGCCTCAGTTTTCTTTCCTGTGAAGTGAAAAGAGATTAAGTACTTACCTCATTGGGTCACTATAAGAATTAAGTTATTTAGTAAATGCAAAGTATTTTAAAGTATATCTGGCACAGTTTTTAATTTTGACCTGTTTTGGCCCTTAAAATATTTGGTGATTACTTACCACATTTCAGGCACTGTTTGGGGAACCAGTGAAATCTGTTTCAGAAAAATAGTCTTTCAATCGAGGATTTCATTCATCCCTGCTGCAGAGAGACATTGGAGCCATGGAGACAGAAATGCTCTGGGTGAAGCAACCTGAAATGTGGCAGACAGTCTGATGCCTCAAATGGTATCAGCGGGTCACATACAAATATGAAATGTACAAATACGTTGAATGGGAAAAGAAAATGCTGGTTACAGACAGAGTTAAAGATGCTGGGGAGCTCAGCTTTGACTGGGAAACAGGGATTACAGGGAAACAGGGAAACAATGGAACCAGAATGATCACAACAGTCCTTGAAAAGGACTGGGGTTGGCAAAACAGAGCCAGAGGAATGCAGATACAGGATGACTTG